GCGCTCCGGCCGCTCCCGCCCCGCCGCTCTGCGCCGCCTAGTCGCTATGAGTAGCTGCAAGCGGGACGGGCGGGCGCAGAGACGGAGCCGGCGTGACAGGCGGCCCGCGGCCCACAGGCGAACGGGCGCCGGACCGTGTTGGCAGCTTCCAGGGCTCAGGAGAGCTGCGAGCCGGGGCCAGGAGCGGCTGCCGTGCTTGGTAGTATGCGCGAGCGGCAGGCCGGCGGCTTCCGGGGCGGGGGCGGCGGGCTCGTCCCGGTGCCAGCGCGAAGGGGTGAGGGAAGGCCGTCTGGATGCGCGATCGCTGCGCGGGCAGGCCCGGCGGGAGCGCTGAGCTGCCGAGCCGGCGGGTCGCGGGTCACCTGCGCCTGTGCCGCCGGCCGCCACCGCCGAGCGCGCTGCCTTTCGGCTGCCCGCGGAGCCGAAGCGGGCACGGCCCCGCGAGGACGAGCGAAGTCCCGCGCGCTAGGAGCGGTGCGAGCCCGGGCTCGCTGTAAATACAGTAAATACTTTGCCCGGAGGACTGGCCCTTATGAGGCTGTCCTGGGGTTTGTGCAGCGTATAGGCTGAGTTTCGCCTGTCGGCAGGTGGCAGATCCCCGTTCGTGGATCTCGTACCGTGAGTGTTCGTTAGGGATTCAGCTGCAGCTCGGTACCGAAATGGGGAATAAAAGTCACGAAGGTGATTTGCAGTGAGGGCAGTTAGCCCGTGCACAGTGCTTCATTGCATTTGGTCTTCCCGTTGTTTTTATAACAAATGCAAAAGGTTGGTTGTGCCTGAAAAATGTTGGGGTTTTCTCCTTTTGTTTGGTGTGACTCAGATTTTCCGGCATTTATTTTTTCTATGAATTCATCCTGATTTGGGACAGATGGATAGGATGGGGTTGGGTGGCATGAAGTACCCATGCACCTGCCTGTTGCCTTGGTTCCCAAAGAGGAATCCAGGCTTATTATAGTCAAAATAGTGGTAGGATGTACACTGCAGTGCTGTACGGTATGCACCTATATCCTGAATTAGTTCAAACATAAATTAATGGATTTACATCTTGCAGTTAATTGTTTTAGATGAGTGAGAATTGAAGAATGGTGGGGAATCTTTGTTTTGGATTTCAACAGCCTTTATTTCAACATTTTGGATATTTTGCCTCATTTCTTAGTGCAGTGTTGGTTGTTGCTTACTACCTTGCTAAGTGATTGTCCTCATCATGCTGACATATCATTGCTGATGTACATCAAGATAAAACCCTTTTTCAGTTGTGAGGGGCATTCATTAAAAGGACACATTGATCATCCAGATTTTTTTAGGATTAGTTCCAGGTTTCATGGATTTAGTATCAGTAGCATTAATATTACCCATGAAATTCGAAGAGGAAGAAATCAGAGTTCTTAATCATTTGTTGCATGTCCTGTATTGCTTGTCCAAACACTGTTGCTCTTCAGATTTTGTACTTGTCTCTTTTATTATCTTTTAATTTTAAATGAAAATTTCATTGTGGGTGACTGACTTTATTGCCATTTGGATATTAATTTTTCTAGAATTAGCAGACCAGTCTTAAAAGAACCAAACAAACCAGTTTTCCTGCAGTAGAGAACTAAAGTTGCATATTTCTCATCTGGTTAAATTATCGTGATTTGTGGTATCATAGATACTACACAAAACAGATATTTGGGGGGGCACGTGGATTTTCTAGGTGCATTGTTCTTGTTGGCATAATATAGAGTTTTTACTGAAGTTGGTAATAGCAATTATTTTTATGGAGCAAAATGTACTATTAGCTTATAGTCAAGTGCTGACATGAGAATTTCTACAAATTTGCAGTTTGATGGATGTAAACATTAAACCTCGCTATTTTGAGAAGGAAGTTTTATGGTACTCCTTGCTCAGTAGCTAAATTAAACAATAGTTTGCATACTGTCAAGTTGGAGAGGAACAGGTTGGACAGGGTCTACCAGGCTTGAATTTCAGATTCTAACGCTTCAAACACTGGAATGCTGTTAACATTCTCACCTAGTGGCTTTTCCAGGCTGCTCACTGCAGTTAGTCTGTCACCCATAGCAGAGGGTACTTCTGATTTATTGAATACAACACCTTTTTTCCACCACCTGTGTAGAGAAGCTCCCTTTCAGAATTACACAAAGAAATTTGAACATGCACACACAGGCATTTTCTTCATAATATATCCGCAGTTACTTTTGCAGAGCCTTTTATAGTTTTGAGAATCCTAGCACAAGATGGTGTTTCATTGCTGCTAGGGAAGGTTCGATGGCTGGGAGTGAATGAAACAATGGAAAAAGCACAAGATCTAAAACCAAATAAATTTAGATTTGTGATTATCTTAAACTCCTTAGGATTGATTTTATAGTCCTTTAGCATATAGAGTATGCCCATAGAGTAGCTGCAGAATAAAATCTCTGAGAGCTGGAAATGCCTATAGCTCCTTTTTAGAATACTCCATGATCCTTTTTTCTACCATTTATCAGGCTAGGGAAAAGTTCCTTTATACAGGGACATTAGCTTGTGTCTAATAACTGTTTGGTCTGGGGCTGCAAAGTTAGGAGTTTCAGGTGCTTTTCCATAGCACAATTTATAAAGTAAACTGTAATAATAAAATGTCACATACTGTAATGAAACTACTTAATAAAGGAATTCTGTGTTTTGGTAATTTATTTCCAGGTATGTTCTCAACCAAACATCAGATACCAAACAAGTATGTAGTTATTCTGGAGATTATTTTGTTGATTTCAGACACAGTTTCTTTTATCTAAAAGTCACAGTCCCCGCAATTAAAACAAACTCCACCCTTAACATGCTTGCAGTCATATCTGTTTCTGCTCCTGAGTTGGCCTATTGAAGTCATAACTACTGTTTCTGATTTAAATTTGAGTATTTGCAAGATTGAGGTCTCTGCAGTTGGATTTCCTGTCTTTTTTTATAATATATTTTCTTAGAACTCCTAGTCTGATTTCTTCAAACGAAGTTATGTCACTTCAGCTGACATGGAAATTGGAGAAGTACCTATGGAGCCACAACATTAATGTATTTCTGCATTTTCCTACGGGGGAATAGTGAAGGTGGAATATAACTGCAGCAATAGTTAAGGCAGAGCAGCATAACTGTGCTGCTTCCAGCGCTGTGCTGAAGTTTGCTTGGGGCTTGGCTTATGCTGTTGCACACAACTGCACTGGAGCGAATTATTCCATAACACACGTAACTTTTTAAGGAGTTTTATTTAGTATGTTTATTGCCTTTTTTGTAAAAAAAAAAAGCCTATATTTGCATTTTAAAACTAATCTGATTATTTGTCCAGATTTCTGATGCAATCGAATTAATAGTACCAGGGAGCGAAGGCGTGCATGTCCAAATAATGTCAGTGTGGTTGATTTTAATCAAGTTTGACTGAGGTGTACAGAGGTCAAAAGAAAGTTGCTACAGGTTTTTTGGGACTAAGGAGCTGTGAAGAGGAAACAAACTCCATCTGTGTCTTGAATGGGGAAAAAGCTGTGGTGTAAATGCATATATTGATAGACACCAGATAACCTATTTAGACTAAAATATTGCCTTTTAAATGTGTGTAATACCATGGAAAGAGTTTTAGGTCATACAAGCAAGCACCTCATATCTGATCAGAAGGACATTTGGGCTGATTTGTCTGTGCTCACTGGATTATTTGTTATGCCTTTTGCTTCTTTTGTTGTTACCTTGACTTGGTAAACATCATCTTTATCACAACAGAATCTTGTTGCTTCCATTTAGATAGCAATAACATTCTCTATTTTTCAAAGAAGCAATTTTACACAATAGTATGCCAATGAGTTGAGTATAAGACAAATAAGGCCATAATTGAAAAAAGTATTTCTGCAGATTTCAGTATATTTGCTGATGTGCTATTTTAGGTTTATTTTACCTTTAAGAAATAGTGCTCTTTACACCTTATTTGAAAGAGAGACTGAAGAAATATCCTTGAATGTTGCTTTTGAATATACTGCATGACACTGACTCCTGGAAATAATTTCTTCTTGCATTCTCTCTTCATCTTTACTCACACTGATAAGGAAGATGAGTGTCTATCTCATTTTTTCATGGTTTGTTTGCTGTCTTTGTTCCTTCTTGTGTAGACATTATCAGAGAGACAATTGTATAAATGCGACATAGGCTTCAGAACTTCTGTCTCACAGAATAGGCAAGTCAGACTTTTTTTTATGACAATTTAGGAAACTCTGGAAGTATACACTGCAGGGGAAGATGAACTAAATTGGAAGCTGCCAGAGTCTTTTAGCTCTTAAATTTGAAAAGGGACGTAAAAAAAACTTCCTTGTGCAATTTTGATAAAGTATAAAAAGATGGTTTCTTGTTTCCTTCCCCTGCATTAATACTTAAGTTCATTAATAGTTAGATCATACAAATAGTAATGCCAGCAATCTAATGGGTAAAATACTGAATTTTGAGCCTGTATTTTGAAAAGCACAGTGTAGGAAAGAACACTTTTTTTTTTTTGCTTGTCATCTGTATAATACACATCTATTATTTTGCTAGTCTGGAATCTTAAGTAATCCTTCCCTTCAGAAAATGTGTAGTTCCATGAGCACTGGAAATAAAGGAGTCTGGTTTCCTTCAGATTTGTTTCTCTGTTGATTTATACTGATACACAAGGTGTGGACATTTCCTGTCAGGGGGACAGTATATAGATTCTCTGCTTTGTTCAGTTACCCATTTTCAAGAAATGATTGAATTTCTTTGTTAGATCTAACGAAGAACAGTCAAGAGATTCAGAAGTTTCTGAGGAGGAGTAGAAGCAATGACATATAATCCCACAGGAATGCAGGCACAGATACATGTATGCAGTGTGAATGTGCCCTGGAAGTTATATTTCACTATTCTTTTTGTGGCTTGCTCCTGTATCCTATTGGATCCTTAGAAGTTGTAGTGTTCAACATGTACCTTCCGTTAGCAGAAATTGAGAGGACTGTGACCCCTTGTTTTTTTCTTGTCTTTGTAGGATAATACGTTGGTGCACAGTTGAAACCATGGAGTCCATGCTGAATAAATTGAAGAGTACCGTTACAAAGGTAACGGCTGATGTCACCAGTGCGGTCATGGGAAACCCTGTTACCAGGGAATTTGATGTGGGCCGTCATATTGCCAGTGGAGGTAATGGTCTTGCATGGAAGATATTTAATGGAACTAAAAAATCAACAAAACAGGTGAGTTATCAAGTAAAGACATGCATTTATAGGCATTAGATAACAGATTGATAGATAGCAGTTGGTAAGTGGCAGTTAAAGCCAAAATCCAACTGGGCAAAGTAAGGTTAAGAGTAGCAAAGGGGAACAAAAACCTCAACACTATTTAAATACAGTGTTCTCAGCTATGTAGGTGATATTTGCTTTAAGCTTTCACTGCTGGAGAAAGAAGTGGTTCTGCATTCATAACATAGAATTTGCGACCAAGATCAAGAATTCATCTGAGTTAAAAGTGATCTGACAAAAAGGAAGAGTTTTTTTTTAAACATGGATGGGCTCCCCAGTTGGTTGTACCTTGCAACATTTTTTTGGCAGCAATACTGGCTTTTTAAGTTTAAAATAATTGTGAAGTATGTCATCATTTGTTGTCAGCAAAAGACACTGTAGTTTTTTGCTCAGCTGTCATACAGAAATTGAAACGTTAGAAATGTTAAGTCATGAGATACTGTAACAGGAAGGCATGGGATAGTGGAGGAGGTTGTGGAGGAAGTTGGTTGTGCCTTCTCTGTGCTGATTTCAGATCAGTATTGTTCCCTTTTAGTTTCCTTGAAGTATTAGGGTTTAGAGCACTAATACACAAACTTCTGACTCACTTGAAGTCACATGTATAAATGAGTATGGGATTGTGACTTTAGAAGAAGGTTTGCCAAAAACAGAGTTTAAGGATTGTTATTATAGAAAATTATTTTGTTGTACTGGAGAAATGTGAAAAGTCTTTTTTCAAACTTGGAGAGGAAGTAGAATTTTCAGCATGTAAATGGAAGTGTTAATAAATTGTGGCCTTCAGTTAAACTTGATGCTGAAGTGATGTGAAGTCACTTAGACAATGAATCAGCTTGCTTCAGATGTACCAAAAAGAAATGGACACAAAGGAATAACTTTGGAAAATGTATATACAGTCCATTAGATGATGGAAAAATAAACTGTAGCAAATAGAGGAGAGATATAATATGCAGAATAAATAATCTATGAAGAATGTGTGATCTGATTGTGACAGTGTTGGAATAATGTTTAATCAGGTACTTTTGCCATATCTTGAAGCATCTGTTTAGCTGTTGCAGAGCTCTGTGCATCTAGTATTTATGGAGTTTACCCAACATACCAATTGGTTAGGGCTCTTTTTTTGGTCTTACTCAACTATACAAATAAGTGGTAACATTGGAAGTATGGTAGTTTTGATAGGTTTTATACAATCTATGTGTCCAGTAAGCATTTGACCTGTAGCAGGTGTAGCTTTAAGTTCTGGAGAGTTGTAGCAAGTTTCTTCCCTTGTGTATGTACAGAATATATGTAATTGGGTACCTGTTGATCATGTTTTTCAAGCTTTGACTGGGTGTTCTGACCAATTATTTTATGGAGCTTTAGTTCAGTTGTTACCACATGTGATCCTACAGTATCTCTGTAAACCCTGACTAACATCTGTACATTTGTGTGCCATCATTGGTCATTAAAAATACAACAGCAGTTGTACTGCTGGGAATTTTAGGTGGCTGCTGATTTGACATGAAGTTACCATTCATTATTAATATTACCAGTTAGGTAACATCATGACAACATTCTGTTGGCCATTGCACAACAAAACTGTGCAGCAATGCAAACAGTTTATGGTGTGTTGTAATGCGGTATATCTATTCTTTAATATAAACTTTTTATTTCTTTCACGTGTACCTTTTGAATGTTTGCTGGGCAGTATGGAAGTGGCTGGCTGTCATTCTCCAAGGGGTAGCAGTCACTTTTGTGAAGTGATGCACATATTTACTGTATTGCAAGTGTGTATAGCTAACTTGAAGCTACAAGCTTTTAGCTTTTTTTGCAGTAAATGTGTATTGTATTCAGAGAAGCAGGATATAAGGGCTTAATTGCCCAGGTTGTTGTGACTTTACAACAACACAAGTAATAGTTTAAGTCATTGTAGCCAGATAAAACAGCTAAATTTGGAGTCTGTAGCTGTACAACAGATCCCATCAGAAATCTTTGTTTTCAGGATGAATTTGTCAGTGGACAGTTACAAATATTCCATCTCTGGTGACAGTGGATATCTATGATTGTATTCTTTTTTTCTGAGTTCGTCCTGGTTCCTGCTAGTTGTTTCTCCAGGATTTCTGAATGTTTGTGTGGGTTCTTTTAATGTACTTTGTCTTTTCTTGCTTACTTTGTAGGTGACTGAACCTAACAGAATGTGAGGAAATTACTTACCTGTGTGCATATGTTTATCTGGTTCTATACTGTAGCTGGTTTGCTGCTGTTTGTTTGAAAGATTTATGACTCTCTGGTTATATATAGGCATATAATTTTACAGTATGCATTTCAGCTCATCTTGGATTAATTAACTTAGTCTTTATATGTTTTCTGGCATAATATGGCACTTGTCCTTTCTTTTGCTTCTGTGTCTGAAAGTGCACTCATGAATAGATGGGGTGAGGTCACCAAGTTCTTGTTGGCAGCTCGGTTGTAAAACTAGCAGAATTCATTAAATAATGATTTGCACTTCCAGACTACTGTAGTTGTGTTTAACTTTTATTGTGGTAGTACTAATGTATTATGGTAGGTAGGTAAGTCAACTTTTTGTTGTTTTGCCTGTGCATATAGTAACTTTGAACTTAAAGCTTCCTGTTCATACTTTAAAGGCTGATAAATTTTAAAATTGAAATAGTTATATTGCATACCTTATCACTGAAAGAAACTAGAGGGAAAGTAGGGTTATAAAAAAACATTGACAAGCTTATAGAAAATAAAGCCCCCAAAAGAGGGAGGAAAATCTTTTTCTGGCAAAAGACCAGAGTAATATTGGAATGCTTTCCAGTGTTTTAGTTCAGAGACTGTTTTGCTTATCTCAGTGGGAGGCTTTGGTAAAATATCATGTGTTTGCATGTTGAGTTACATTTAATTTTTCATTTAAAAAATGTGTGAGTGCATATGAGTAAAATAGAGGACAAAAATGAAAGAGAAAGCAAACATAAAATTTCTAAAATCAAGCACTTTGACTGCTACCTTTAAATTTCCTTTGCTTTTGTGTTTACAATTTAGTTTTTAACATGATCAAATTTGAGTTTTTTCCATGAGAGCGCTACATTAATTCAGTTCGCAGGATAGATGGTGAACTATATTTATTAAACATTTTGTGGAGTTGGTTTTTTTGCTTCCATGTTCTGTGCTTAGATGCTGTCATTATTACTCCATGCTATTTAAAATTTCAGTATTTGAGTTTCTGTAATATATAGTGCTTGAATATTTTACATGTTTTATTAACATGCTTCCTCAATATCCAGTGGGATCAATAGGAAGAGATATTGTTCCGATATCATTACATTTCTGCAGATTTTGGAGTCTTTACTTCAGAAATAATTTCTAGTTTTGTTTGCATCTCTTTTGACACACAAACCCATTTTCTTTTTGAATGTTTGCCTTCCTCTTGGGGTCAGGAGAGAAAGGGGCGCACACCTTGGTTGCCTGGTTGCCTTCTTTTGATTGGAAAAAATTATTTCTCCCTCTTTCCCCCTTTCTTTCTCTTTTTGTAGTAGTTGCATTGGCTAAGATAGGAGCAGGATTTTTGCATTCTCTTTAGTTTGAAAGGTGTTTATGTGGGTAAATAAGGACACGTATTTTAAACTGTCAATGTGTGTTTCAAACTGGTGCATGTTTCATTAAGATTTCGGGATTGCAAATAGTCTGGGAGGATGTCGCAGGTTAACCCTAGCCAGCAACCAAGCGCCCACACAGCTACTCACTCACTTCCCTATCCCCAGCAGGCTGAGGACAGAAAATACGAAGAAAAACAAGAAAATTTGTGCTGCTCTTGGAGGGCAACAGAGAGAACAGCTGCGTGAGGTGCAATCAAGTCAACAATCTGCTCAGCCTAGTGGTGGAGCTGAGATCAAGTAGAAAGACTAAGAAGTATTAGGGACTCTGAGGAAGAGATTGACTAGTGGAGCCATACCCTGCCATACTTTAGACAAATGAACCTGCCCTCTACTTCACAAGAAGTAATGAATCCCCTACCCTCTCACCACTGGGCAGAAGGAGGGGACCTTAGAGACTGAGGGGAGTGGAAACAGGCTTCTGCTCAGCGTGGCAGGTGAATTCCCTGCCAACCTACCTTAGCTTTCCCGGTGCACTTATACCATTGATATGAGGCTCTGGAATCTGAGGATCAGGGAAATGAGAATGTAGATAAAGGTTCTTCTGGCATGGAGGAGTTGCCTAGGGCAAGGCAACCAACCCCCCACATCACTTCCTCAATTAAGAAAAAAAGTATAGTAGTCATTTGTGACTTCCTTTTGAGAGGCATTGACGGCCCAGTATGTCAACCAGACAACCCACAGGGAGGTGTGTTGCCTCCCTGGGGCCTGGGTAAGAGACATCATGAAGAAACTTCCCAGTCTGGTACAGCCCACTGGTTACTCCCCACTACTGGTTTCCAGGTGGGTACCAACCAAGTCTCAACAAGAAGGCTATGGATAGTCAAGGGGAACCAAAGGGCCTTGGGTCAACTGGTCAGGGGATCTGGAGCACAAATTGTGTTCTCTTCTGTCCTTCCAGCTGCAGGGAATGATGAGTTCAAACAAACCACGTAGGATTGCATCAAGCACCAATAGAACTTAGAGCCATCATAAAGTATTCAAACCATAACTCATGTCTTATGCTGTCCAATTTAAATACTCACTTTCTGATTCTTTTAACTTACCATCAAACAGAAGTGCTTTCAGAAGTACCATCTTGGTTTGAAATTTTGTTATTGGTCATGTCCTACTCAATGTATGTCTTTCATCCCCATCGCTGGTTCCTCTCTGCCTTGTGTCAATGTTAATATTTCATCCATCACACTTAGAGCTTGATCAGGGAGCCAGTATGGATAGAAGCAGGAAAAGTGTACTTAATTCAGTTAGTTATAGGTGTTCACCTGCTAATGGCTTAATGAAACCAGCTAAAAACCAACTTTTTGTGTATTGGGCTGAATTTCTTATTTTATATAGACTATTTCTAGAAGTTTTTAGGGTTTTTAAATTAATAATGTAACTTCTCCTGTGAGATTTTAATTAGAGTAATGGTTATAAAATGTGCAGTAGAAGAGCATAGAGTTCCTCTTGGGACTGAAAACTGTGTTTTCATATTTTTTTGTTGTTTCTAACATTTATTATTATTCATAATGCTGTTGTACAGCATATAAAAGTCACTGTTTCATGATAGCGATTTTAATTCCTTTTTTTTGTCAATTGATATACTTCTCTTTAATGACTTCCAAGATGGTGATGTAATGTAGTTTTTAATTTCACATTGACCTCTGTAATTTCAAGGTTTCATATAAATATAAACTTGATTTTCTCTCACTCCATTGCAGAGGTTGGAGAGGTTTTCTCTGGTTTAACATTTCTGTGACTTCTTTTCACACATCTTTAAGCATTAAAAAATTCTTAATGTTCTATCATGTGAATGGTCTGATCAGATTAATAGATTACTGTGACTATAAATTATTTCTAATGAAAGTTTAGTTTAATATAGATTGTACTGGTTTGGGGCAGAACACTGAGACAGGATCTGGTTTAATAAAGCTCCACTTGATATATTTAATGCCAAATGACTGCATATACACTCAGAATATTTTAACTGTTCATAGTTGATGTAAATGCTTTCATCTACTTAAAATCAAGCTGATTTCTGTCCTATGCATCTGCTGCTTTGTCGCTGTGTAGTTAGTGGGTATAGTTTATGTATTACTATTTGCAAAATCAGGAGCATTAGTACCTTAACTCTTAAAGTACATACTTTAGAGGTTATATACAGTAACCTGTCCCATGACTGGGACAAAGTAAGAACAATAAGTTTTTTTGTTTGTTTATTGTATTTGTGGCATTGTACTGTTGAATCAAAAAATTTGTGTGTGTGTGTAATTGTGTATAGGCTTGGGTTTTGGCTATGTTATATACTGATTAACTTCTGTTGATTATTTCTAGGAAGTGGCTGTTTTTGTCTTTGATAAGAAGCTAATAGACAAGTATCAAAAATTTGAAAAAGATCAGATTATTGAGTCTTTAAAACGAGGTGTTCAACAGCTGACCAGGCTTCGACACCCTCGACTACTTACTGTTCAACATCCATTGGAAGAATCTAGGTAAGCTCTAGTAAAGTTGAGAAGAGACATTTTTAATCATTGTTTTGGTATTGGATGTAAAATATCTGGAACACTGAACCCACACATGTGATGAGATTCAAGTTTACTGTATTTATTCATAGGAGAATTGTTCTTTCTATACTCAGCACACTCAGCTACTGGTAGAAACACCGGAAGCACAAAACCCGTCCAGTTGCTTGCTGTGGTAGAAAGTGACGTAACGGTTTTTGGAGGGGATTCATAAAAGAAAGGTTTGCTTAGAATATTTGTATGTGTAACGTTGTGCAAGCATGCTACAAGATTTATTTAGAATTTCAGGTCTTCCCAGAGCACCTATTCTTGAAGAAATCTGTCATGGGCTCCTTCTGGAGACACTGTACCTGGTCTTTTTCTTTTGTGTCTCCCAAGTAACATACACTTGTGTTGAACTGTTGAACACTTTATTCCTCCTTTATGGGGCAAATGGATACTTGATGTACCTGCACAGTTGAAGTAGAGAAAGAAAGAAAGACCATATCTTTCTGACCCTAGTGTGTAGGTAGTTTTCCCACTATTAATAGCATGTGTCTACTACAAATTATTGGTATTCAATATAATTATATTTATATAATATATATAATGATGTATAGATCTTTACATGCATTTATATAATGAATAGCTCCTTATTTATACTAAATATTTAATATGAATATGTTTACTTGCAACTTGTCAGTTAATTCCATTAACAAAGCTGGTAACCAATATTCATCTATATCTAACTTGTTATTGGAGAAAAGGATTAAACAAACAAGTTGAAAGTTAACTCATGATATCATTGCTACCCATTAAAAATAGTAGTGTGAGGAGTCCCAGATAATTTACAAGACATTCAATTTGTTACATTGTTTCCCTGTAAAAAGCATATGTGGTTTTGGGCATCATTTTTATTTTTAAAGTGTTTTCTTTTTTTTTATCCTACTATTAATTTCATTCTGATATTATTCAGGAACCGTTAGAGAAGCTACACTGTATAGCAGACATCAGCTTTTGCAATATTCAGTTACTCTAATTAGATTTATTGCATCCTTCCATTACGTTGGTTTGGAGCCTTTAATTAGCTTCTAAAGCAGAAAATAAACACTCGTCCTTTTATTCCCTCAAAACAACAGTAATCACAGAGTTTATGCTATGAAAACCACTGAATAGTTCCCTAGGTATTTTCTATCATCCATGCCCTCAACCATAACTAGATGTATAAGCTCTGTGGTAAAGTTGAAGTCAGATTGAAAATGAACGACACTGTCTTTCTGTGCTCTGATTCTTCTTTGTGATTTCAACAGAAACAACTTTTATAGCCCTGGTTGTGCTAATAGACATGTGAAAGGTATGTCATTAACAGAATGGTAGGGAGGAAACCAAGCAAAGAAGTTCTGTCAGGTTGACTGACACCTATGATTTAGTATATTTTACTTTTCAGTTGTTTTTCCTTTAGAGAAGCAGTAGATAAAACTAAAATCTGATGAGTAATAGGAGGTTTGCATGTTTCAGCAGCCTTATTTTACCTCAAAGACCAAGCTTGTTAATTATTAAAATACTTTAAAAGTATGTGGGAGATCCATGCTGAGACATTGTGATATTTTTGTGGAAAGAACAAAAATTTAGGTTCTGTCTTCTTGCCTGCAACTTTATATTCAAAAATATATCTTTGTTACTGTTACTTGGTGTCTGTTCTCTCTATTCATGCTATGCAGTATTTAGTGTTCTCATGAATTAATTGTCCTTAAAGCATGTATGTGTGCTACCATCCATGTAATGCTTTCTCCAAAAAAAAACTTTAAAACAATTAGGAAGTGATTTGTAATGACTGTCCAGGACCTCCACCAGTGTGCAGACCAGTATAAAGAATGTGGATATAAAGAATGACTCTGTGTTGGAGTTTGGGAAACTAAGACATATATTGGTTTCAGGATCAATTTAGAAATTTGGAATTTTGAAGCACAGTGTTATGTGTGCAGAAGTTTGCTTCAAACACAGTTGGCACAAAAATGCATAAATAAGACCAGTAGTTTTACATGAAGAAAAGAATCGATAAAACAACTTAGAAAACAGTCACTTCACATGCAAACTGCAGTTCATACAACAAGTGTATTTGTGTTTGTAGCTCTTCTTTTCTACTACTCTGCAAAGAAAAAGAATATTCAGGTGCTACTTTATATTATATTAATTTTGTTTCTGATCATTGAACACATTAAGTATTGCTTCAATCAGGGACATGTCAATTTTAGGCACGGGTAAAAGCCTGATTTTACAAGTCTTAATAGTAGTAAAACTTATTTGCTTGATCTTGGATCAGGACAAGAATGTCTTTTTTTTGTTAAAACTTTTTATGAAGCACTGTGTGTATCATTAGTGATTTATGTGAATATTAGAAAATAAAATAACTTAATTCTAGTATTTTTTTAATACTTCAGGTATTGATATATTTCTCTTTAGTATAATATTATAAGAATTCAAAACCTGAAATACAATATGGTTTTTGGTAGCACCAAGTGCACTGGTAATATATAGTATGATGTTTGCGTGGTTCTTTATTCACAATCAGGGGACTTATTACATTTACTTACAAGAAATTCTTTAATGCATTTCCTATACAGGGATTGCTTGGCATTTTGTACAGAACCAGTCTGTGCAAGTTTAGCTAATGTTCTTGGCAACTGGGACAACCTACCTTCTCCTTTACCATCTGATATTAAAGAATACAAACTTTATGATGTGGAGACCAAATATGGTTTGCTTCAGGTATGACAGGTTGCCCGTACAATTTTCATGTGCATTTAGTATTAATAATTTTTTTATGAAGTCTGTAAACTGACAAAGTTTTGTCTACCTCTAGTAAATCAAATAATTGCAAAGTGAGAGATAATAGTGCCCTGATCAGTCTAAGTGGGAGAGAGGATTAACGCTGGAGGCTCTAAGTTACTACTCTTTTTTGCTTATTTTGACATGTAAAACACAAAATTCAATTAATTTTTATTTTCCGTATAAATGTCCATGCTACAGCTGTCTCTCCTCTATGTGAAACTTTACCTTCTGTGGAGGACCAGTAGCTCCTAAGTTTTGTTTGGTGAATATACTGATCAACTTTGTAAAGCATTTTTGTTCTTCTGAGATCATAGTGTGGCCTGAGGGGAGGGGGGAATGCACCACCACACTTATGCTGTGATGGACGTTAGTAATCTCATCTGCTAATTACCCATCTGTGTTTAATTTTCTCCATGCGTAGTTTCCAAGACATAGGCTAAAATAGTGGTGAAAAATTGTTTCTTAGTTAATTTATGAATTTAATTGTGACCGTAGGAACAGAATTTTTAGAAATGTCTTACAGGATGTTTGGGGAAATACTTAACCTGAAATAACAATCTTTTATTAACAGGTTTCTGAAGGCTTGTCATTTTTGCACAGTAGTGTGAAAATGGTCCATGGAAATATTACTCCTGAAAATATAATTTTGAATAAGAGTGGAGCATGGAAAATTATGGGCTTTGATTTTTGCATCCAATCAACAAATCCATCTGAACAGGAGGTAATAATTTTGTATTTATCATCAGTAAATTTCAAATTCAGATCTTTGTCTGAAACCAGTTTCATGACCTTGCGTTCCAGTACAGAATCATTTAATATTCACCTCTGTATTTTGTTGGCAGGAATTTTGAACATATGGCACAGGTCTGGATTTAATTGCTGCATTTGGTCATCACAGAAAAAGAGTCTGTGTTGGCTCAGTGGAGTCAAAATAGACTAGTGGTGTTTTCAGACAGAGGCTGAAGCCTATACCACTTGTGCTCACCTGCATGTTGGATGACATGCAAAGCTACCTAATTTAATCTATTGCATCCACTCAGTGCCTGATTACTACCTCCTGCAATGAATTTCCATCATAGCTTATGTTTCTCTCTTGCAGAGGTGCTTTGATTTTTACATTACAGTTCCCAGCTCTAATATTCAGACTTAAATGCATCAGGTAATCACTCTAAGCTACAGACAGAGATTCTTAACAGTTTTGCCTTACTCTAATTCTGTTTGATTCATAATTGGATTTGAGTAGCTTAGTTGTTTTTTGCTGCTTGAGTTTCTTATTGAAAATAGTCTTTAAAAATCCCTAATAAATGTACTTTCTTTTACTTTTCTTCCTTCTCTTGTAGCCAAAGTTCCCTTGTAAGGAATGGGATCCAAATTTGCCATCCTTGTGTCTTCCAAATCCTGAGTATCTGGCACCAGAATATATTCTGTCTGTGAGCTGTGAGACAGCCAGTGATATGTACTCTCTAGGAGCTGTTATGTATGCAGTGTTTAATAAAGGGAAACCAATTTTTGAGGTCAACAAGCAAGATATTTATAAAAGCTTTAGTAGACAGCTGGATCAGGTATTCTATTTGTGACTATTATTCATTGATTTTCATATTTGAAAAGTTATTGTTTTAAAATAGATTTAAATATGTAGAACACTGTATCAGTGCTTCAACATAAACCATCTGATAACGGTATCTTGCCTTGCATACTGTCATTATAACAAGAAAAAAAGAATCCTAGAAAAATATGGGAAATAAAAACATATCTAGAGAAGGTTACATGTACCAACTTTATAAACTACAGATTGCATTTTTCATCTGAATTCTCTGTAAACCTGTTGAATACTGGTCTTGTGGAATAATGTTTACTTGTTGGAGTGAACAGTATGAAACATGGCAGTGAATTACCTATGTAGGACCATTGAAAGAGGGCTGAGTTTGGAGTGACTTGATCACTTGACGTTGTAATTGGTATCCACATAGTCCAATATTTTGCATTCTTTGTGGACTGTGCACATTAACAGAAGACAGTGTCATGGTTTAAGCAGTTAATTGGATCAGATGACATAATGTCCATTCATATGCAGCCTGCCTTTGTTGTAACTTCTTTGGGTGCCCATTGCTGTAGCTATGTGCCCTGTGTTTTAATGTTCGCAGACAACACCTCATGGAATGACATTTGCCTGTTTAAAGATACCATGTTTGTGTTCTCTGATAACCTGAACAATGGGAAGTTGAAAATAGTGGAATGGAACCTGAAACAGCTAGACTGTGGGGAAACAGAGAAGACTATGAGGACTCAGAAACAAATGGGTTATAGAAGGGGAGACGGGAGGGATATCAAAGGTGTGGGTAGAAAAACCATCAAGTATAGTCCTGTTGTATACTGGAAATAGTTATATACAGGATTTTGTGACTTCATGGTGCATGTGCTTAAATTACTTACGCAGCTGAGCCGTTTAAGCTCCACTACTCTTCAGAATATACCAGAGGAGGTGCGTGAACATGTAAAGCTACTCTTAAATGTAGCTCCAGCAGTCAGACCAGACGCAGATCAAATGACTAAGGTCAGTTCATGGAAAATAAAGTAGCCATAGGATAGAGGGGAAATAGTGTTGGATGTGTAGATCTATTTTAAAGTGGTTTTTGTTAATCATTTTAGTTGAAATGTTAAATGTTTTTGAACTATTTCGGAAATAATGTTTGTTGATGCCAGAAGTTGTCCTTATGCTGACCTTTGTTTATATAGAAAAAGTGGGTACTGAGACAGAATTTAGAATAATTATTCAGTGCAACACTGTTTTACTCCTTTCCAATACAGTTGGAAGCTTCTCTATGCTGTATTTTTATACAATTCAGTATTTAAAACTGTATTGGAAGGATTTTGAAACGATAAAATGATCAAGGGCTATAAATGTAAGGATTAACTTTTGTCTTATGATTTAAATATGCAGAAGAATAAAGTATATTCAGAAATTAATTGCAAGTAGGATAATGTAAGTTTTCATTTGACAAACTGTTGCTCTTCTTTCCTATCTGAAAGTAGAACTTTAAAGCCTGGTTTTTCCTTTGTCTTATACTCCTTTTTCTTATATCTGATAGCCTTTCAGGTTTCTGTTTATAGATTTGCTTTGCTAAATAATTTTATTCTTTTGCTGTCATATAAAAAGATTGTACGCAGAGAGAGAAATCAATGTTTTAACAGTTGGAAGAAATAGTGAGTGCAGAAGAGAGGGGGAGCAGGTAATGACTTCTGTCAGCATATATGCTGAAAGATGGCAAGTGAGGGAATCGGCAAATATTTCTCCAGTATCAACTCACTTGTCTGAAGGAATAAAACAAATCTGTAAATGGTTGTATTAAGCAGTATGGTTTTATAAAGATGTTAAGTCTCTTTTGCTACAGGTACACTGCACACTGAAGTGTAGAGTAGAGATATTAGAGCTTCCAGGGTTTCCTAGAGTTTCCAGGGGTGGTAGCTAGATCTCTGTGATCTAATAGGTAATCCCTTACTGTAATATTAAATAGCATGATTATTCCTAGGAGAACTTTTAATCGAAGTTTTTACTTTTCATTACATTTTTCTGTAGACTAAACATTATTTCATATACAGTAAGTTAACTTAGGTGCACATAACATACATGGGTTTTTGAAAAATACCAGGAAAATTCTGTCTGAATCAACCTGTATCTGTGAATATTATATTACTTGGTGTCTAAAAATGTTCTCATTTTTAGTCGCAGATGTGTCATTTTAAAGGTTTCCTATAGGGCATTGAAAATGTAAATAGATGATTATGTTTTGGAATTATTGTAGCAGTGTCAGTGTCGTCTCCCTCCAGATCACAAACTTTTAATCTTATCTTTAGATACCATTCTTCGATGATGTAGGAGCAATGACACTTCAATATTTTGATTCATTATTTCAAAGGGATAACCTGCAGAAATCACAGTTTTTTAAAGGACTACCAAAGGTTCTGCCAAAACTACCCAAGGTATGTTTGAACGATGTCTTGAAATAACGAGTTAGAAAATATGTGAACATCTATTAGCATTCTGATTTTTGGAAGCTGGAATTTCTTTGGTATTGTACCATAGTAGACTGTCAGAATAGAGCAGTAGGAAAGAAAGGGAGATTAGAAAACAACTAGTTTGGAAATACTCCTCAGCTTTAAATAATACTTTAAATGGAAAATGGCAAATCATGCTATCAATATGTGTAAGGAACCATCATTTGCATGTCCTGTTGTAGTTCACCCCAGTTTAAAGGCAAGCTGTCTTCACTTACAAGGCTTTCCCTTTGTTTCCAGGTACTATCATAGCTCTTGGAAGTCATCTTGCTGCCTTTTCTCCCAATAAGATTGTTTCAAGTTTTTTTCATAGCAAGGCAGTACTTTAATGTTGAATAGTCTAAAGCTTCCTTCCCTTAATAGACTAAGTGCTTTATTGTGCTGACAGTGCCCAGAAATCTCAAAGGCAAATGCCTGTCATTACAGATTTCTTCTGTGTGCTGTTAGACACTATGTCTAGACTCGCTCCTTTTCCTTTTATAGTATACTTTAATTTATATAAGCCATAATGCATATGTGATAGAAAAATAGTATTAGTTTAATACCTAATGGAATAAGGGAGCTTCTCAACTGTTGCATTAAATTTCTTTAATTCTGTTTTGCACTACACAGTGCAAAATTCAGACTTCATGTTTAATACTCTCTTCTTTTTAATTTAGTAATTTTCTCCTTTGATCAGAAATGGTTACTGCTTTGAATTTGAAAATAGATGGCATGCATTTCACTTAACTTTAGGCAGCCACAGACTGACCTAATCATCTTCAGGGCATTCTTTTTTTCTTTTCCTGTCTTGAAAGTATGTTCTATGAGGGAAGTGACTGTGCCCTTGAACTGTATATTTCTGTTTATTGACTTGAAAAGCATTTAAGGATGTCTGACTCTGCAGTAGACATCCACAGTGCAAATACCTGTTTCATCAACAAAATCCTATTTAGGGAATGTACCTGGAGTTTTACTGGGAAGTATAGTATCATTATGTGTTTGATGAGTGAATGATGGGGAACAGAAAAAGGGATTATTTTCTGGGGGTGGTAGGGTCTTTTTAAAGGGTCTTTTTAAAGAAAGCATATAGAATAAAGTTTTCTTAATTCATTTATGTGGTTGAAAGTCCTTTTTTCTGTATAGTTTATTACTTTGTTGAGTTTGTTGTACAGTTTGTTGCTTTGTTGAGCTTCACAGTTGTTAAAGTCTCCAGTTATGTTTTGAATGCTAACAGAAAAGTAACCAGGGTAGCACAGTATAAATTAGCTGCAGTATACTGTGAAAATAAGACTTCAAAACTGAAAATTGTCTGTCTGCTTTTTTGTAAATATTGGGTTAACACAGAAGCTGCTGAGCTGGCACAGTGGTGACTTACTGCAGTGCAGTACAACATGAGGCATACTTGGTTTTTTGTTGTATTTTTTTTTTTCTTTTAGCGTGTTATAATTCAGCGAATTTTGCCTTGCTTGACTTCTGAATTTGTGAATCCTGATATGGTACCCTTCGTCTTGCCTAATGTTCTCTTAATTGCTGAGGAATGTACCAAAGAGGAGTATGTCAGGCTTATACTGCCTGATCTTGGTCCTGTTTTTAAGCAGCAAGAACCAATCCAGGTATGTTAATATTGTTCAGATTACAATTTTTCCCTTTGGTGGTTTTTTCTTCTGAAAATGACTAATTGTTCTATTTGCCTTTTCCAGCTTCACACATATTGCCCAACCTGTCTGTAGTTGTCCAAGCAGTCAGTCTTGATTCATGCAAAATAGATTTTTCCAGGAAATATACAAAGCCTCTGCTTTTTCAGATGAATTTTTTGAGGGTATATTTGTTAAGGAGATTAGAGAAGCAGAAAAGGAAACATTTAACATACCACTCAATTCTTGGTTTTGGTTGATTGTAGAAGGTATACTTATAAGCATTTTATCACTTATCTAGCCAATCTGAGCAAGCTGTACCCATGATTTTTATTTTTGTGTGTGTCCAGATTGCTGACATTGGGATCATGGGGTGAAAAAATTGTAACTCTAGCACTCTCTTAGAATTGCTGTTTATCCATGATAATAAGAACAGTGTTTATTTGAGGGTTGTGCACAAATTTGTGAAATTTGTTTAATTCTGTATGTCAAATGTGATATGTAAGATAATTATGCTCTTTTCACTGTAGTTTAAATGCATAAAAGTAGTAAGACACCATTGTTACTGTAAAGGAGCAAAAATTTACAGCCTTTTATCATCACCATGTGCGTGATGATTCCTGAGAATTCTGTCACTAAGTTAGGCATTGTGCCTCCACAGATGAAAGGCATGTATGCATTCCTTCCAGCTCACCTTGGTTTATTGCTTTATGCCATTATTTCCTGGTAGAGCACCTAAAGGGCAAGGTAAACATAGAAATGAACAAGTAGACTTTTTATTTCTGGGTTTCAGAAAACTGGACCAAAGAATTCTCATTATACTGAGGAGGGGGAGAAAGGGAACAACTGTGTAACTGAGAATACCTTGGAAAATTTGAACTGCTTAATACTGTTTACTTTTGGTACACTGAGGCTTTATGTTAGCTTTGTTGTTGTCTTGAAAAAAGTAAACATTTAACCAACCAAAAGTCAGTGAACATCTCATTTGTGCTGTGTCATCCTAAAAGGTAACACTATGTTTTGCTGCCTTTAACATTAGATTTGTGAGAAAGATCTTCACTGTAAAAAGTTTGTAGCAGTTTTATCAGCAGCATAATGGACACAAAAGCTGGTTTATGTCTTGAGAAATGAGGGAAGCAAAATACAAACTTGGCAAAGCTCACTCTTTATGAGCTGACCACAAGTTTTTCTGTAGCTATCTAGATACTATGTATTAAATTCTTACATTGATATTTTCAATGCTAAGTTCTACAAGGCTTATTCAACTATTATTTCTGTGGTCTTTTTAATATGGTAAAGTTTCTTTAAGTAATCTAGGTCATGTTTTCAAAATTAATTTACCGGGAATTTGAGAAAAAAATACAAAGGTTCAGAGTGCTAGAGGGTAGAATTCTAGGTCTATCTTTGTGCAAGGCAAAAAAGTTTCTGTGTGTTTGCTCCTAGAGAGGGGCAGACAGAGAATGTGCCAGTGTTTCTTCCAAATGCTGTCTTGAGATGTAGATTTTTGTGAGGGGCCTGTTGCTTAACTTTCATAGTATGCTTGGGTTAGGAAATAAACATATCATAGGGAAGCTACTGTGATTCAGTATGAAGACATTATTAGTGTTCACAATGTCTTTGTATGAGGAAATTTATAATATGAAAATTAAATATTTAGTTAAACTGCTCATTTATATCATACTCTTGGGGTTAGTGTGGAGTAACGTGTGCTGTAAATTAACATAGTAGCTTACTCTGGCATAGCTGCCCAGACAGACCCTTAATTTATAATTACAGGAATCCATGGAGAGTTAGCATAGGATGTGCTGTAAATCCATATTCTAATTCAGTCCACCACAGTGTACCCTGAGAAGTACTGGGCTCTGCACTAATAAAAGATGCGTTATTGTTTAGAGTGCAACTGCTACTACTTGCTTGTTAGATGATATGTGTGAATCTGTGACTGTAGCATCTTAGTTTCTACCTAAATAGATAAAAAGTAATGAATATGACCATAGAAGCTAAAACTAAAAGGTGTTCTTTGGAACAACATGAACTACATTCCAGTTAAACCCAGGTAGAGGGAGATAGAAATGATTCAGCTTTATCTTAGATGAAAAGCATTGACAGGCAGTGGAAAAGAGCTGAACTGCTTCTGTAAAGTCTAAATTACTGTATAGTACTTGGTTCTTATTTTAGAGGAAATTTACTAGTTGTTAAATAAGAGGTTTCATTCATATTCTTTTCAAATTTGCAAAAACAATCGAATGATATTTCTCCAAAGCTATAGATGTCACTAACATACAAACTGTAATTCCACAGCATTACAGAACTGTTAGAGAAGAACATGTGTTATGAGCACATGTAGGTTTCAAAAAGCCAAGTTTAGGACAAACAAAAATTCTATATTGAAGAAAATTATAAAATCTAACTTTAAAACTGATCTTGTCCGTCTTACCCTCTTTGTCCCAAATATGGGGATATTTCATCAGAAGCAGTTTTCTTGGAATGAATGAATGAATGATTTTGTGTGTGTGTGTGCAGTTTAGGAAATTATAAATATACAATGAGAAAACACATATTAGCTGCAGTTTAAAAATCTATTTTCCCTGTAAAGGAAGGCAAATAAATGGGGGAAGTTTGTAATTTGCTCTTGATATACTTCTATTTCTACATTTTGACGCTTCCATTTGTTTGACATATAGGCACTGATTGCTATGTATTTTTAGACTTAAAAGTTAAGTCTAATTTCCTCCTATAAAATACTTGACATTTTGCTATTAGTATGTTTACATTCAACATAATTTATCTATCTAGTCTCACCTATTTTCTAAAATGGGTCCATATATCAATGGATACTCAGTGTCACCTCTAGCAAGTTGTCTTGCCTGTCTGAGCTGAGCTATGAACCTTATGTGTTAGAGACACTCTCTGTATTTGAGACTGAACCTGGATGAGTGACTTAGAATAGTGGCTAATTTTTAAATGGCTAAGCCTGAGCAAGGTGAATCACACTATATATATGTGCTATTCTAGTGTTACTTTTTAGGTTAATGCAATGTGAGGGTTTTTTGTTTGAGATTTTTTATTTTATGATATACAATTTCCATGTGAAATAAAATAAAGGCATTTTGTGGCCATCTAGTAGTTGCAATATTGTTTTCATTACATCCCTATTTATTCTAGACACATGAAATACAGCTTTTATATGTGGAGTTGTAATCAAGTGCTTTGAGGTCAGAATTTGAGTCATAGGTTTTTGAAAGTTTAGCTTTTTCAATAGTGATGTATGTATAAAGATTTTTATGTGGGTGAATTTTAACAAAAGACCATGGAGTAAATAGAAACAAGAACTCCTTACTTAGCTATTTGGATTTGTTATTTTAGAGAGGTCAATCTAGAACATGTATATTTTGTTTGATTTGTATTTGCTCTTTTTAAAATGCAATAATATGTCAAAGTGTTTTTTGTCTTCCATGCCTTCAGGCAAGCAACATGGTAAGTGATTGCATTTACTGAGTTCTAAGAAAACTTGTGAAGTTTTTATGATATGTTACAATACACTTTAAGTTGTAAATATATGCTTCTGGAGTTAAAACTTTTGGCTTCTGAATTGTCCTTCTTTTAATAGATATTGTTAATCTTCCTGCAAAAAATGGATTTACTTCTAACCAAAACTCCACCAGATGAAATAAAGAACAGCGTTCTACCAATGGTTTATAGAGCTTTGGAAGCACCTTCAATTCAGATCCAGGTATAGTAATTGCAGCATTTATTTAAAACATTGTTTTCTCTTTTCTTTCAGCTGATGTGCCAACTTTTTGTATACTGATGTGTTTGTTCACTTGGAAAAAAAAAAGAAGATAAATCTGTGTAATATTCCTGAATATTGAAAGAGATGAGTGTTTTATTAAAGAAAATTTGGTTTTAATAAAATAAAATTTAGTTCCCTTATTTCCCAGGGGGTAACCACTTGACTGGTGTTCTAATGCTCCTATCTTAAAATCTTACTAGCCACCATAGCAAAAAGTAGGATATGCATTTATACTCCATTGCCTGTGCAGCAGAAACTATGCAGGCATGCATGCTCTTACCTGTCAGCGAGAGGTGGCTTATACTGAGGTCCTTCTGGTAAGAACATCTGTGCTGACAGTTACCTTGGAAGACCTGATTTGCTGTAAAATCATATTAATATACCTTCTGGTGACATTTTTATGTATCTGTATTTTAATTTTTCTCTTTGTTCTTTCTCTACCTTTCTCAAGTTTGTCTGTTTGGTTTTTTTTTTTTTTCCTAATCATTCTACTGGAATTAACTTCCAGTTACCCAAAAACATTCAGGGCTGGGAGGGGGAGATAAATAAACCTAAAAATATTTCCTAAAGAACGATTTGGATAATCAGATTTGACTTCTGCCTTTGCAAAGCCTTTGCAATATTATGGAGAAAGATTTTTGGTTTTTAAGTACCTGGCATGAGTTTTTTCTGCGTCAGTAGTTTAGTTACTCAGGTATTTACTTGCAACCCACTTAATATTACTGTCTCTTGTTTTTTGCTTTGGGCTGAAATTGTGTGTTTATTTTTTCTCTGTTGCTAAAATATGTTTAATGCTCTTTTATCTTTCACCCCATCATTGTATTGCTGTTGATAGTACTCATTCAAATTTGCTTGCTTTATATTAGCTTGATGTAATAAAAACTAGTTTTTATGTAAAGTTGTTTTGTGAAAATACAAGATATTCTTGCTATCCAAATATTTTATTATGACTTTATGAATGCTCTCTTTCCTAAAGACTGTTTCCAAGGTTCTGTATACATACAATGATGCTTTATTATTCTAGCTATTTTTAAGTGAGTCTGATAGATTAGGGTCAGCTTAGTTGAACATATTTCCTTAAAAGAAAAGCTTAAGAAGGCATTTCAAACTGACTTTGATATTGAGTAAAATTAGTACTAATTTTGTAATAAATGTACATGTTTCTTTTTAAACTTGTATGGAATTTTTTTTGTAGGAGCTTTGCCTAAACATAATTCCCACGTTTGCCAATTTAATAGATTACCCATCAATGAAAAATTCATTAATTCCAAGAATTAAAAATGCATGTTTGCAGACTTCTTCTCTTGCTGTGAGTATCCTAGTAATTTTATCTCTCAGTCCTCAGAATATGTTGTTACCTTTAATTACTTTGGCTTTTCTGCTGTTGTGTCTTTAAAGAAAATCCAATCAGTGTGCTCTGATTTCTTTTTTTAAATTTTGTAAAATACTTTTTACCAATGCAAAAGTGCCATTTACTTTTTTAACAATTTTTAAAGTTGTTATCTTATTGTGTTAATAATACTGTGAAAAATTTTTGAAGTGTGCTCCACAATAATATACACTGACAGTGTTTGTCATGCAGAAAAGCCAAGATTTTGTGAGCATTATGTAACTATGCATAATATACAAGTGTTTTACTTTCATGACACAAAAGGATTTTTTTAAATTTCTCTTGAATTTTCAGATATAAAGGTTGTAGTTTGAGTAGCACCTGTTTTCTTCTGGGTTTTGTAAGGTTGGGTTTTTTTTCTTGGACAAAAATATAATGAAGAGTTGGTTTAATTCTTATCATACTTCACAGGTCCGGGTAAACTCACTAGTGTGCTTAGGCAAGATTTTGGAGTACTTGGATAAATGGTTTGTACTTGATGATATTTTACCTTTTCTACAACAAATTCCATCAAAGGAACCTGCAGTGCTCATGGGAATTCTAGGTAATTAATACTTCCCACTTTCTCATCTTATGTTCTTTCATGTTGTAAATCTGAGAGCTTCCTCATCATTGATCATGTTTACATAGTGTATTTCTAAAATGACTATTTAAAACTTCCTGTTTCTGGTTCTTAAGTACGTCCCTGTTCAGTTACCTTAAGTACTGCAGGTACATCTGACACTAGTACACATATTTTTAGTCTTCAGGGCCCAGTGCAGTTCTGAGTACTCATTGCAGTTCTTGGGCTGTGACACTTTATGGACTGTGTGCTCCATGGAGCCAGAGAGGCTGTTTTCCTCAGAAGAATGTATGATCTGCCTTCTTTCAGATACTCTTTCATGTCAGATGCTATGAATGATTGTCTACAAATCTGCTGTTCTTTACTGCAGGTTTTGTTAGACTCATTTTGTTGGATGTTTAAACAAACAGCTCTGCCTTTTGCACTGAAATTGAACATGAGCTGGGTGAAGTCTCACAAAATGCCTAACAAAACCTAATGGCTTGTTTCCTCTGGAAGGGGAGACCTCACTCCCAGTTGTGCTTTTCTAGTGTCACTTGGTGCTTGCCTAACTCAGGGTGAGTGATTTTAACTATTTCAATGCACTCAAGGAGACCAGATGACCATAGAGACAGCCAAGAAAGAGGTGTAACCGCGTGGCCATGTCTGGAGGACAGTGACCATTTCTCTTACTGACAAAGAAGTATTGTCAGTAAGTTGTCAGTAAGACTGTTTGTAACAGTTGAGGTGTATCAGCAACCCTCATTAAACACTGTAATAATATGTGATGGCAGCATTATTTTGATTTGTTCAGAATCAGTAAGAAGGCTGTACTGTTTTAGAACTGTACTATTGTACTGATTTAGAACTGCCTGTTTCCCTTAATCCTTGCAGGTTTGACTTATATTTGCTGTCTAAGAAGAGGGACACTGTTTTTTACTTTAGCTGTGTTACTGCTGAATTCTACTCTGATACAGGGAATAAGTGAACCTTTGTTTGGAAATGGTGGACTGAAATCAATTTTATATACTCAGGCAGTCCTTTTCTCCAGAATCATAATACCATCTTACTCGTATGTGATACCTTCTTTGTCTTGGTGACAGCTCTGTTCTACTACCATAGAAAGTGAAGAAAGCTGCTGTGTCTTTTATGCTAATATGTTTAGCATTTGCCACAAGAGCTGGACTATTTAAGCAGAGGACTCTTCCTGTCAGAAACACTATAGAACTTGTGGCCTTAACACTGTGTCCCTCGTGCCTGTCAGTATTCTTTTTTTCAGAGATTTTAGAACAGATAAAGATTATGCATGATTTCTGATCCCAAATGTAACACAGCCAGATACTTCTAGGTAACAATATTTGTAAAATACCATCAGAGAACAGTATGATAGTTAATCCTAGCCATTTCAATGTGCCAGGAGAGAGCATATCCTTAGTTAACATAGCTTGATTTCTCAGTGGCAATTTGTCACTTTGTGGTAACTCAGTTGCACAAGATCTATTCAAAGATGCATATTCTCAGATAATTGGATAGAATAATACCTTGACTAATAACAGGTTTCATAACTGCTAAATATGACTTTGGACATCCTCTTATTCTGAACTGTAGCAAAGCCTTTTGCTGTTATAAGTTTCTGTTGTGAAGGAGTACTTTTTATGATTCTCTTGGTCATGTTTGTCCCTGCTCGCGCAGAGTGATCATTCAGATGATCAGTACATACATGAGCGTGTTACTTGGAGTTTGTTCACATTGCTTACTAAGCTTAACAATTTTTGCTATTTTGCTGTTGTATGTTAGGTATTTACAAATGTACATTTACTCACAAGAAGTTGGGAATTACCAAAGAACAGCTTGCAGGAAAAGTATTGCCCCATCTGATTCCTCTTAGTATCGAGAACAATCTTAATCTCAATCAGGTAGGAACATGACTGTTTTGCTTGCTTTTTCTTCATAATTATCAAAGAATAAATTTAAACTGTTGTCATGAGAAATTCATACATTACTGGATGTCTGTATCTGTTGTAAAAACAAACAGTACCAAAACCCTTTCAAGTTTTACTGCATTTGTATGTTTAAAGCATGTTATTTTTCAGTGTGTTTAACGGATCTGGTATAAATTTCAAAATTAATGCTATCACCTTCCAAATATCCTGCAAAAGCAGTTAGCTACTAACATAATAAGAATTCAAATTAAAATACTATGTCGCTATGAAATATTTGGAAAGGGAATACCTAGTAGGTTTATTTGTTTGTTTGAAAATTAATCTGGTAATACTCATATGTGAGGGGTTTTGTCTGCATTGTCCCTTTTTTTTTATTTAGTGGAATGTATTTTTCCCTTTTCCAATATGCACTCTGCTTGTAGTTTTGTATCTAATGCATGATAGCGAAGGTGATAAATTATTTAAAAATCTGCAGCTTATCTGACATGATATATTGTAGGTTTTATGAGGTATTACCTGTTAAGTTATATCTGTCTGAATTCCATCTCTCCAAAATCCGAACTTCTTATATATTTCTTTTCCAGTTCAATTCTTTTATTTGTGTTATAAAAGATATGCTTAACAGATTGGAGGCAGAACATAAAACAAAACTGGAACAACTTCATGTCATGCAAGAGCAACAGAAGTAAGTGTTTATGTTTACGTTAAAGAAGTAGTTTTTTTGGCAAATGTTAGAAAACTCTAGCCATAACAATAAAAAGATTAGGCAATTCTTAGTTCAGTAGTTGAGAATTACCTCAAATAAGCACAGTTGTCAAGATTTACTAGTCCTAAAATGATGATAATATTGTGATATTAGTGGATTTATAGAAAAAAATCCCTCTATACAGTTCAGGTACAGTTTATTATTTTAAGTCAATAATTTTTAATTCATTAAATTTGAAAGTTCATATTGAGCTCTACTAGTATTGTTTGATGCCTTGCTTCTATATGCTAACTTGCTTTCCTCTAGTTGCTGAGAAATAAATCATACTAAGGAAACATAAACATTGCAACCTTTTAGAAGACTGTGATGTTTTAAGATACTTAGAGCTATTTTATGGAGTCTGATGTGAGGTGAGATTTCTGAGACAAATTAACTTGGACTATCTCAAGTCTGGGTCATTCTGTTCAAAAGAAGGAACTAAGAACCACGTGAAATGGTTAGGAGACCTTTACTATTCATCATAGTAACATTTCCCAGTCTCTTAAAGGCATTATGTAAAAATGGCAGTGGTCTCATAATGAAATTTTTTTATATTAGTGATGGATGTGGTTTCAAAGTTATCTTTTTGTAATATATTCTGCACTATGTAGATCTTTGGATATAGCTAACCAAATGAGTGTGTCTGAAGAGGCAAGATCTAGTGGTACAAGCAATCAGGTAAGTAACAATATTTTATTATGTAACTTACACATAGAAATTTGAAATTTAAAATTACTTGGTTGATATTTCTGTTACCTTTATTTGCAACAGTTCAAATAATGAAGTTTTGTTTCTTTGAACTTAAACAGATCGACAAGGTATTTAATAGTAGTGGAACTGACCTTCTAACTAGTGGATCTGACAGTAAAGAGAATGAGGTGTCATCAATACAGAAGAAGGTGGGCTTTAGTTTGCTTTGCAATTCAGTTATGTCCAGCTATCTAATATAAGGCTGATATGGTTGCATAAAAGATCGTGTGTAAATATTTACCTTTTTTAAAGCTTTAATAGAAAAACTAATTACTTTTGTATGGCACATACACAGTCACATGTGCAGGTCCATTGAAAAATGTTCAAATTATATCCTTGAATTTCCATGGAAGCCTTTCCTTGAAAATAGCTGTATACAAAGTAGGCAGCAGTTAGGATTATAAATCTGTGGTCATTTTCCTTCTCCTTAATTATAGATTTCAATGAAACTTCAGCACTGGATTTAGGTAGGAAAACAAACTAGGGACCTTTCTGATAAAATTACAAAGAGAAATGAAGATAAAATGTAGAATTTCATGTAGTAGCAGAGATTAACATTCACTGTAGAGTTCAAAGTTAAGTGAAAATAAGCAGTCAGTATGGGGTTAAATACAAGAAGCAGAGAAAAACGACATGAGATAGAATAGTAAACATAAGCATAAACTATTGCAAAATTCTTTTCATACTTATAATTATGGAAGTGGCTTCCCAGAATCTGTATAATTTTCATTTCTAGTTACCTGAATCCTCTCACTAATTTTAGACTAAGGGGGAATGATTTCATTATTTTATCCTTCATTATTAACAAAAGTAAAGTTAAAATCCTGAAAAGGCTCTCGAGCAATCTTAAAATTCCCTTTCCTACTTCATGGTCAATTGCAGCTCTATATCAAGTTAGTAACCATATAAAACCAAAAACTATGAAGAACACTTTTTCTTCTGACCAATATTAAGAAGACAAAGCTAAAGTGGTTTTGTTGATATATCTCTTTTATTTCTGACTGCCCAAATTTCTTATATTTATTTGCTTTAAGTACTTTTTAGTAATGTGGTAAATGTTATGATAGATTTTGTGCTTATTCACTTTCTCTTTTATGTCTTTTTCTAAATAATTGTATTTTTCAACCATGTATTGCAATGACAGTGCTATTTATGCAATACAAATATGAATGTACAAATCACCGTTTCTTGCAACTTAGTACCTTTCCTTTTAAAGGCATCACTTACACTGGAAGAGAAGCAAAAGTTAGCTAAAGAACAAGAACAGGCACAGAAACTGAAAAGCCAGCAACCTCTTAAGCCACAAGCAACTGCAATAACACCTCCAGTGAAGCAGGTGAGAAGGAACAAACTACTGCACTGCTTCCATTGGATCTCTGATGCTTTTGGCATTTTTTCCTTCTCTGAGTCACTTCTGTTTTCTCTGGTAGTACAATGGCACAGCTGAGAAAAACTAAATTAAATTTTTGTGTCTGACGTTTGCTTCATTAGCAATATTCCAAGAGTTTCCAAGGGTATCATTATTATCAGAAGGCTATTGTTCTAGATAAGGAAAAAGGACATATTAAAATGATTTTGCTCTGAAGAGTTTATTAAGTAAATATGTAAAGGAATTTGGGATAGAAATGGGGCATGAAAGCAGATAGTCACAGTAGTACTTTGTGTGTAGTCTTAGTTGTCAAATTAAAGCTGCATAACAATTAGTTCTAAGTAGCAAAGAAAAAAACCTCATTTCTCTTGTGTATAATTACATTTTCTGCCCAATTCTATGCAGTAAATTCTAATTTCTGAAAAATTAATGTGCCAGTTCTACTGGAGCAATGCTAAAAGTGTTGCAAGAGAAGTGTTGTACAGGAAGACCATTTAACTGCATTTTATATATTTTGCAGACAAAGGACTTGACAGATACCTTGATAGATAACATGTCATCTTTGACTAGCCATCCTATCAACAAAGCTCAAGTTTCATCTGCAAACAGCTTCTCTTCTGTTCCTTCTATGGGTGTTGGAATGGGATTTTCATCACCTGTTGACAACACAAAGCGAAATATGACAAATGGACTAAATCCAAATATGGGTTTTCAGACTGCTGGATTCACTATGGGAGCAGGTCTTGCCACTCCGAATTTCTTCAGTGGTCCAAGTGCAACAGGAGCAACCAAGATGAACATTGTACCAACTGCCAGTATGCCAAATTACAGTCCTATGAATGCTGCATCTGCAGTCTCTCCACTGACACAACAAAACAGACCCCCAGATATGTCTGCTTTAGATAATCTTTTTGGTCCTCAAAAACCCAAAGTTAGCATGAAACAGTTGGCTCAACAGAAATCAAGCCAGTGGGTTAATCAGTTTGTACCACCACCAGGGTCCCCGAATGCGAGCAGTTCAGTCTTGGGACCTCAGATGAACATGATGGGACAGCCTGGCTTTGGTATACAGGGTAATCCTTTCTTTTCTCCTCAGAACTTTGCACAGCCAGCAAACACAATGACAAACAGCAGCTCAGCTAGTAATGACTTAAAAGATCTTTTTGGGTAAAACGTTTTGTTTTCTTCTTTCAAAGACTGATGAAATTTGGATCATGGGTAAGCTGATTAACATCTTTTTTTGATTAGTAAAAGCACGATTTGGGGAAACTTTCAGCCCAGCAAAGTAAAGACTTCTGCACTGGAAAAAAGGCTGATGTTGCATTCAGCTGGTACTGCAGTGGAATTGTGCAAGTGCAAATCATCTTACATGCTAAAGATTTCTGTCTCTTTACCGAAAATGAGAATGATGAATGTAGGATGTATATATACAACTGAAAAAGAAGTATATCAGAATTGTTCAGAGGTGTACTCAATCAACCCCTATGAAGTTTCATACAAAATTTTGTTTCTTAGGCTCACCAAAAATGCTTTGGGTATAATGATTCTAGTGAATGCAACCCTCCACAATTATTCGTGTTGCCTGCATTTGGCACAAACTGTCAATTTGCCATATGACAGTTTGAAAAAAGGAAATTCTTATGCTAGCCCAAAAATTTCAATAGCCATGTTATATAGAAAGAGCTCTAAACAATAACTGTGAAAGAGGCTAAGAGAGCATATTTTGACTTTCTTTTCTATCTATATAGGATAATTATAATTAATATGGTGGTAAACTACAACAAGATTCATCAGGCATAAGAAGTTTTAAAATTTTGTACAAGTTTGGGACAGGGTAAGAACACTGCTTCAAAGGTCATGCTTGTTTACAATCTCTTTTATAATGCCAGATCCTTGTTGCAAGCCCCATAGCAAAAGCAACGTACCACTTAAGCAGGATTTTAAAATACATGTGGTGACTTCATCACATTTATTATATATTTCAGTGTTTTGGCTTATTGGATACTGCTTCTAACTGATGTGTAAAAAAGAGTAATGGTAGATATGAAACCTCACAAAATGAATGTTCTCTGTAAAATTCATATATTGATTGCCACAACTGTGTAGCTAAACAGTTCTGTGTAACCAAACACACATCATATAGTTACACAGAAATATCTTGAATTAATCCATTATTTTTGGCTCAATTGAGAAGATGGAAAAGGATTGCCTTGTACAAGTTGCACATGATTGTTGAAAAAGCAGACTGCCGTAAATTGCCTTGACGAGAATGAACTATTTAATTTTGTTTTAACTCAAGTCGTTATGAAGGATAGATTGACATAAAGTGAGTTCTCAAATATGGATTTGTAAGCTCTAGAATATATGGTAAATACACAGGTATTTCAGATCCTTTTTATTGTATTGCTCTAAAGTCAATAAAGCTCTCCAGAAATCCAAATAGTAGTTTCTTCTACTTCCCAGAAGGTGTATGTTCAGCTTGCCCATGATGGAACGAATCTCTGCTCTGTCAGATACTACTGTTGAGGTTTAACTTTTTCTTTCCTAAGAATTTCAAGAGCTTTCTTACATAATATTTTGAAGACTACAGATGGCTATTTTGAGAAGGAAAGAACTAGTTACCTTTTTTATGGAAATCCTACCTGCTTTATTTTTCAAAGCCTTTCACTGAAGAACCTGTTCATTCATTTGCTGCTTAAGAAACCAAAGGGCCTTATGCTGTAAATGTGACTTGTATTTTATTATATTTCCACAGTTCCAAGCAGTAATAGCATTTAAGCATATTTCTTAAAGAATCATTTATGTATTACAGCTGCTGCCTTAGTCCTGTTATTTTACAACACCTGGGACCAATGAAGTTCTGATCTAGAAAACAATCCCTGACACATTGTAATGCTTATGTGGTGTTAGTATTCATGGTAAACATTGTAGGTTATGTTAAGAGATCTGTGTAAATTTAAGTACAATGCTAGAACTGTTAAACTATATAAGTTCATTTGCTGTTACTAGTGCTCTATATTCTCAGTCACACTAATGTCTTCTTTTATGTCAACTCTTGAAAGCTGCGTTTTGTTAAGATAACTTAAAGCAAACCTTTGAAGAATTACTTGAATCTGTAATTCTCTAAATTATTTGGAAAATGCGTTTATATTAAAAGCAACATCTCATAGGATTCTACAATATATTAGATTAATACATCTATGGCAAAGGCAGTCTTAAATGTCAGTCTCTAGATCTAGGGTTTCAGTCACTGAGCTCCCTGGACTGTGGGCTTTTCAGAACTGGATTTTAATTTAACTTTTTTGAGGGGATATTAACTGAAAATATTTGGTAAGATTTCATATAGTAGACCTAAACTGTGGGCTTGGGGTATGTGCTTTTGGCGTGGACTACACAAGAACATAATCTATTTTGTAAGAATAAAGTAAAAAAAATCCTACAAGTTCAAATTAAAGAGGCTCTTGTATGAAGTGGTAGTACAATGGAATAAGGTCTTTATCTGTCTCAAGCAATAGGTTTTTTTCCATTTATATTTGAAACATAATTTCGATTTCTTGTTTGCTGCAATCTTCAGAATGAGCAAAACAGAATAGCAACAACAAAGAAAACGGAAAAGGGTGCTTTATGAAAGTCATAACAAAATCTTCTTTAAAAATAAAAGGTAACTAGTTAAAATGAGAGAGTCAAATCCCTCTCTCATGTAGATGCTTCCTGTTCAGTTTGTCAGGAAACTGTGTGTATGTGAGGTTCTCTAATTATTTCTTCTTTATGTAGAGGAAAGAGGACTTGCAAGAGGTAAGTCACTGCAGCTGTGTAGTAGCAGCAGTACTGTACTGCTACAGTAGTTTTTAGGAAGCCTTGTCCAGATAATCTCTCCACTTGCAAGTGATTGTCCTGAGGCCCTGCAAGAGGCTGGAAGACTCATATTGTGTCCAGAGGGAATACCGTTGTTTGAGAGCAGCAGTTATACTTCACATCCAAGTTGTTGTTTTGGAAAGAGTGTGGATATTCCAGGAGCCTTCTGTGTCTGGACTTGGATGGAAAGCAGTGTTACATCTAGCTTGGCCGGAAGCAGAGGGTCTGCCTAGCCCTAATGTAAAATAAAATGGAGAACACAGGTTTGAAATAGGTATCTGATTAAGAAATTACAAATGCTGTTACTGAAATAGTAACCTGATAAAAAAAAAAGTTCTTTTTTACAATGCCTTGAACAAGACTGTAAAGTACACTAAGTTTCTGCCCTTTTTAGTCAACCTAATTTGAAGGAAAAAATGTGGAAGCCCAGCAAGTTATGAGCATGTCTTTATTCTACTGTGGAAATTAGAGCATAGTCTGGGCTGAAGTGCCCAGCCCAGATAGTTTACTTTACATTAATTTTAAAGGGGAGGTAAATAGAAGGGAGTAAGTTCCTATACTTTAATTGATTTATCTATATTGTATTCACCACAAAAGGAGAAAAGAAGTGAAAACAACTGCACATCTTACGTATGTGCATCAGTTGTGCTTTAGCTGCTCTAGTGTATGCTAAATGAACATGACTGCACCAAGACAGCAGTGTTTGCTGTATTAGAACTGTTGGTTCCATTTGGTTTTAAGTATGAAAGTCTCTGAAGTACCCTCTGAAAACTCAGAAAGCAAACTATTTTACTAGAGGGAAAGATTGTATTAAAGAAGCTTGAAAAACCTTCTCTGCTTGGGCTGGTGGAGAGGAATGTTAAAACTACTGAGTTACAGATTAATTTATAAGCCCCTAGTTCTGACTGTTTCAGGAGGTGTAATTTCAAGGATGGAGGAGGGAGCAGATTTTCTGTTCCTTTTCATCATGCAGGTGCTGTGAATAAGGCACAGAACAGCCCATGGAACCTGCTCATGCAGGAAGACAGCAGTACCAGAGTCTTTTGAAAGGTAAAAGAGTCCACCAATTATTTGGGAGATGTGGAGAAAAATTTTTTTACTGGGAACATGGGTAGTATGCCCTAGTTTGTTTTAATGAAGATACTGTGATCTCCTCTCTATGAGTAAGAAGTGTTGTGGGGTAGTTGTAGCCTACACAGGTGCTGAGGAGAAGGCTGGATTTTTGGATGTGTAGGTACACAACATTTCAAGCCTTATTCTTTAAAACTTTTCTGTTAAGTTTTGTCTTTTTAGCAACAACTGTTTCACATTTACGTGGAACCTTAATAAATACCCTGATGGCCTTTTAAAGTAAGGAAAACATATGTTAACTTTTGTATTATAACCCCTGTTGTAATGTTATTGGTGTCTGTAGATAGACAAGTCTGTGTGTAGATTATATGACTTTAGATTTTTCAGCTCAACTGCACCAAAAAAACCCAAAAATTAAATGAGAAGTTAGATTTTAATCAAATTCCATAAAGCTTCCATACAGGTTAAGAATTACATGATACTTGTGTTATCTATTATAAATGTATGTGCTTAATCTGCCTATGTCTATGTGACTTAAGCATAAAAAGAAAGTTTTTAAAACATAAGTTTATGAACACTGGATCTTGCATTGCAATGAAGTTTTTGGACTTTAGAGTGACCTTTGTTTATTGATTAGGAGTTTTCTATTGGGGATGGGTGGGGATGCTGATTTGTGCCATTTCCGATGAGAGAAATATAGGGAGGGAGAATACAGAAAAAGTACCTTGTTGTATATGTGACCCCTTTTTTGTTCTTTGTTAAGAGATATGCTGCATTTTATATATTCATTGTGAACTTTTACTCTGAAATAGCTGTGAGGAAACCTATCTGGAGAATTTCAGATGAGTTAGCTTATTTTCAAGTGAGGTCCTGCCTTGTACCTTACTTTCCATTAGGTTTTGACTGCTTTGCAAGGAGGTTACACAAGGCAGTAAAACCTTGGATTCATACAACAAATCCTCTTGCCTTCCAGGCCTCACACTTCTATCAACAGGACAAATAAGCTCTGAAGTTGTATTATCTTTATGTTCTCTGAAACAGTTCTAACTACTGTACAGATTTCTGAGATGAAGTTGTAAATCAAAATATGTTACAGTGAACTCAGGCCATGTGCAAAATATTTAATATTTGTTTACTTGTCTAATTGTACAATCTCTGTATGAGTGGCAGTTTTATGTTTTGATTGTAAAATATTAAAGTTCTCATGAGATTTATAAAGTGATGTTACTGTAGTGTCGGCTGTGATTCATAAATAGAACTGTCATAGCATGGCATTAGTGTATATCCAGTTTATTGGACATCTCTTCCAAAACAAATTTATTCTTGTATCAACTTTTAGATCAGTTACTTTAAAAATATGTAAAAGATACGGTGGCAGTTTTGAGAAGTTCACATCACTTTTTACTCTGAATTAGGTTGCCTGTGGAAATAAATGAACTTTTCATATCTTCATGTTGAAGGATATTTTTATTTAAAATTTCCATTGAATTAACTAATGGTAACTTCTGCAGAAAACTCTCACTGTATATTTAGTTTGAAATGCATCTTATCCTGCATACTTTTGAGTTCATTTCTTAGAGTCATTGCCGTCCAGACATTTGTAAAATGTCATCACATATTGCCTTCATGCAAAGAATAAAAGTCCTGGGGAAAAACTAATGCACTAGATGTCTCTAAAATTACTTTTTCTGAAGGCACGCTAAACCCATGCTGGAATCTGGGGTCCTCGTGCCACATAGTAATCTCAATTGGCATTTTCACTGCTCATTGACCCAGAAACCAGCCCTTTTTCTAAACCTGGGTTTCAAAATACACTGCTTTGTCAGATTAGTTTTCCAGCACTCTGAGGGAAGATAGTTCTCAGCTCTTTATATGGTATAAATTGATAAAGTATGAGACATCTGATCTGCTTAGAAGTATCATTGTTGGCTGGAGAGGGTGTGGGAGGAGAGAGTAAAAAAGGAAGAAGATAGTTTAGGTGAAAATGTGAAGGTAGCATCAGGTGGCTTCAGTTCTCTCTTCACTTGCTGAGGATGACAGTAGCCCCATTCCTTCTGCAGCTGTATCTGTCAAGTGACTACAGCCTTGTCACTGCTGAGAAAAGACCTGCCTTAATTTGCTCAACAGATCACAGTCCTGATCTGACTTGTATGTCCTTTACTATGGTAATGTTCTCTTTGTCCCTCTATTTCTGGATATTGGCAGGATCCATAACTTACCTGTTTCTATTGGAGGAAGGTCCCAGGTGATGAAATCCAGATGTTTTGGGTTGGTTTGTTATGGCTTAAGGTTGAAATTTTCATAAGCTCTTTCATGAAACTCTTTCATCTCTGCTTCATCACTTAAGTATCTCTAGTCCCACCTTTTAGATTTGTCATATACCAGAGCTTTGTGTTAATCTTTTTTATATCGGTGTTTATAGGGCTGTGTTATCCTATGGAGTTTGCAGCTGTGAGGAGTGCAGCTCAGTAGATGTAGGAAATTGGCTCTTTGTGAGGAGTTATGCAAACAGAAATGATTCATTCAATGTTTTCTTCCTGTTGCCAGACACAAATGCACTTGTATCCTGCATCTCAGAAATTCCCTGTGCTCATGTCACCTACTGGAGGCCACTGCACTTGCTCAGTAGATTGAAAAACTGGCTCTTGAGAATGACAAGGGGGATTCTGATTTCTTGTGCCAAACTTACAAAGAAGGAACTGAGTTTATACTCCTACTCACGCACAAACCTAAGAGCAGCTAAATAAGTACTAGTTATTCAAACTCTAAAAAAACTTACTGAGTATTCCAGACATAAATTTTAAACTGTAAAATGCTAAAAAAAAAATATCTTTTTTTTTTCCTCTGTAGGACACCTGCCTATGAACTATACTGTTATGGCTCTAGTGCAGTTTCTTACTGCAAATTAAGGGACTTGTGGATGTGAAGCAACTGGAAACTTAGAAATTATAGAGATTTAAGGACCTGCCTACATCTGCATACCGATTTTTGAAGGTTTTTTTGTTTATGCCATAGTCATTATTTGGCCTTTATTTAATGGAATTTCTTAAAATGCTTCACCTTTTGGGCAACATTCAAAAGACTAAATTTTACACTCTTCTGCAGTAATTAGCCATTCAAATCAAGGATAATGAAAGAAGCAGCTCCATTTGAAACCACATCAATGAAAACATTGTTATCTTTGACCTGAAAACCAAGGACTGGGAGCTGAAGTTACTATACTGGCACCATTTGTTCGTGTCTGTCTCCATGTATCCTTAATGCTAGCTTAGGACTATGGTTTGTAAGAGTAAACAAAACCAAAACTTTTTAGAGCTTTCTTTCCAGCAGGTTACTTAAGAACCAAGCACCACAAGGCAGAATAACTGCTGATTTTCTGAACAGAAAAATCAAACATTAGAGCGGAGAACTAAAAAACTAGAAATAAAAATCTTGCCCCTGCCATGCTGTTGAAATAAACACTTACCTAATAGTACCAAAGCTGTGAGTGTTTAGCTGATGTCACAGAAGTGACTTCAAATACTGCAAATAAACAAAAATGCTAATGAAGTAATCAGATGAGACTGTTACTACAGCAATAAATTTCATCTGAAGAATCTATCGTAACATGGCACCAGATTTTTTAATTATTTTTATTTTTTTTTTTAAATTTCTAGAAACAATCATGTCTTACAGTGATTGCTCAAAGCCTTCATCTGTTGGATAAAACTAGGAAGAGAAGTAGTTTTTTGTGTGGATTTCTGACTTGATAGATACTAAATGTCATGTTGCAATTGAAGTGAGTTCAATATAAAGTACTATTGTATTTTCATCATTATCCTGTGCAGGATTAAATTAATATTTAATCTGTTCTTTTTTTATTATCTGGCAAGCAGGAAACTGTTAAATTAGTTGAGTTTTTTTTCAGTTTGATTGTGCATATATGCTTTATTTCCTAAAGAATTAATTTGTGAATTGTTACTGATTGACAACCATTATGAGAGAAGGATTTACAGTGAAATAACACCTTTGCAATATCCTCAACTGCCACATTTTGCAAATACAGTTGAAGCTCTTTGCTTAAACAAGCACTATAAACATTTCTTAAGCTAATCAGATCGTTATCTGGCTGCTGGGTAGGAGCTGTTTCCTTATTCTTTTCATGTCATAGATAGTATAAAACCTTGATTTTCTGCACGTTGGAAAGATTAAATAAGTGGAGGTCTCTTCACACATAATTGCCAACTTAACTGAGCTCAATCCCATGTATAGCAATTCTTTTGTCAGAATTTTCTTTTGGGCCATGTGCCTGTTACTTTTCCAGACCCTTTCTGATGTAGCCATCTCTTGCATGTCCTTTCTCTTGCATTTTTTTTCTCTCATCCATGCTCCCAAGCAGCGCATGGCTGTGTAAAGTAATAGAAGGGCAACAAAAAGCAGGGGGCTTTGACAATTTTGTTTTTCTGGTGATACTTGGTAAGGGAATGCTGAATTTATGACAGTGACAGTCTGACTTTTGTGCCTGATACCTTTTATCTGGAGGGTTTTGTTCTGCCATCAGGGGCTGAAGAAGGGAACCTAACATGAGGCTCTGCATCTCGGCTTGATGGTCTAGCTCTGGCAAGCTGATGGAGAGGGCAGATGAGTAGGCCTCTGTCTCCCTTGCTAGCTCTTTTACAGGCAACATGAGACCAAAGGAGAAATGATAAAAGCAGCTGCAGGTAAGTGATCCGCAGGATTACTGAATCCAGATCCCAGAGTGATACAGCAACCCTTCAGAGCAGAGAGGCAGATTTCAGGGCATACCTGAAAAAAAAAAAAAAAAGGGAGGAAAGACAGTGGAAAATGTTATCTCCAAAATGTCAGAATATCTAGTGCCAACTCCATAGGCTTGGACCTGTTTTCTTTGAAATGGTGCCCCCTGCCAAACTGCTCTGCTCAAACTCCTGGTGCCTGTGCAGAAGTGCTGGTTGATGCTGTCTCATGGAAGAGACTGGTCCTGACAACTGCTGCTGCTGCTGCTGGGCTGCTGCTTGAGCTCAGATTTAATTTAATCTTAACACACTTATTGGAATGTTTCATTATGATTATTTTTGTTGGAAAAGGTTACTTTGAATGACTGTGACTAGGAAGTTGAATAAATCCCTTTTTTTCCACTCTTTGTTTTGCTGTAGCAGACATTTTCTGGAGAGAGGTAGGTAAAATATTCAATAGCTAAAATATGTATACATACAGATTAGAGTTATTAAAAAGCAACTTTATTAAAACTGTGCATTTTAAAACAAATTTATTTGAACTAAAAGCACTGGGCTGAACTGTGCATTACTGGTCACCGTGTCTTTCAAGACGCCGTAGTTGTTTAATTTCATTTTTGTTCAGTTCCTTTTAATGCATGCATTGTAAGAGAAGAGAAGATTTTTCTTTGTCAGTGTTTCTCAGTTTCTTAACTTGGAAAAACTAGTGGGTTTAAAATTGAAATAGAACTGATTTCCTTTCCACTCTTTCAAAAGAATCTCAGACAGTGCTGGGTATTTAGTCAGTGATTTCACCTAGCTTAGCAATGGGAATATCTTTAACAGTCTGGCAAAAGCATACTTTTGTTTTTTTTTTTAATTTCTAGGCTGTAAGAGATAACATATTTAGACACTGATATCTGTCTTCAGAACTTAAAATATTAATTTTAAACAGAACTATTTTGCTCGATGAAACAAAATGTTGATTATAATTTTAAACTGCATCTCTCTCTATGTAATAATTTTTAAACAAGAAAGGGTTACACAAAAGGTATTCTGGAGCTTATTTTTTTCTAACATAAATAAGCCCTAACTGCAGTTCAGCCTAAGTGCAACTCCCCCTTCAAGTAAACTATAGCATATGTAGATTTTCAGCTGGTTTTTTAAGATTAATGTGACTGCTCAGTCATCCTTCTCCCCCATTCCTTCTTAGCCCTTTGCAACTTCAAACCTGTTGCCCACTTTCAACCCTTGTTTGATGAAAGTGTTATTAAAATACTAAAGGTAAAGAATTAATGTAAGTTTTAGGATAACTGTTACCTCACTAGAGGGACCAACTTTGCCCTTCAAGTGAGGGAAGGGCTGTAGATAGAGATAACTCTGGTTAGACACTAGAAAATTCGTGTAAGGGAGACCCCTGGGAAGGCAGGTTTTATACATTCTGATCTTCACAAAGAAGCCAGTTTTATTTACATATCCCACAGTTTTGTTTTCCAACAGTATTTAAAAGGGAAGAATTTTTTCATTAGCTTTTATTACAATGCTTTCTTTTAAAGACTTCAGGTCTAGGATTAGAGGAACACAATGAGCTATGTGATATAATTTGGTAAATCAATCAAGCAAGAGGCTATTTACAAGCAGGGTATCACTACAGCTATTTATAATTACTATGATATGTATATACTACCTGGCATAGATTATCTGTTAAACATGAAGAGAAGACAATACCAAAGACTATTCCCCTCTAAAATGTATTTTCCTAGAAAGAGCAAAAGGGAAGCCACAAATTTGAAGAGATGGAATCATCTTTTGAGTAACTTGTAACAAAAAGATATCTAAAAACATCAAAACAGTTTCTTACTGATAGTGACAGGCTGTATATAAAAGGTTATAAGAGATGTTAATTTTCAAAATGACCTGTAAGATGTAATAAAACTGCCATAAGGTGTCACTATAACCCAAGAAACTTTCAAATAAATTGGAAACATTATAGAAGTGTTCTTATCCAGCTACAAGGCTTTCCTTATACTGCTTTGTGAAAGTAAAAAAGGACCCATTTTTAAAAAAACATACTCTATTTCTGTATGCACAGAAATTATCATCAATGTATCTTGTATTAGTTAGTGCAATGATGTGGAAACTGTCTTTTTTTTTTGGTGGAGAAAGACACATACTTCACACAGGAACTTTCCACATAGAAATGCTTTAAAGCCCTCTTACTTACTGTGTAAGGTGTAGGAAATTACTACTTAATTAGCAGTTTCCAGTAATGAAAATTATAAATAAGAATTCTTATTTCCATTATTGTTTTACTTGTTGCTAGATCCCAGGAGCCTCTATTTTTATTTTGTGTCCAACTGTGATCAAATACCTTTCCTATCAGTGATCTGATCAGGAAGTAGAAACTAGAAACCAAAGATGAGTTTTTTTAACCATTTGAAATTAGTGCTGATTTTGCTACAGTCATTAGGGAATCAAACATAGCATCTGAAAATTTGATTTGAGCAGACTCAACACAAAGCATTTAAGCCATCAGGAAAGCACTCAGTTCTCATATATGGTAAAATAGAAATCAGGATCCTGGAGTCTCTGAATCCATCTTCATTTATGGAGGAAAACTATAGATGTAAAACCATAGGTTTCAAAACCTGAAGAACCATATTGATCATTTATTCCTAACCCCATGGCATCCCAGGTCACCCCTTTCATCTTTGACATCAGATGCTGTAGATCTTGAAGGCTGGGAGACTCTTACAGATGCCAATAGAAATACAGTCTCCAGTACACCAGTCACTATACAAAGGAATAATTGATTTCACCCCAAAGTTTCATGCCTAATGATAAAATATGCTTGTCATCTGAGTGGACCTTTAAGGCACCATTTAGGGACATGGCTTAGTGGTGAACTTGGCAGTGCTGGATTAACAGGGGGATGCGATGATCTGAAAGGTCTTTTCCTGAAGGAATGATTCTACGATTCTGTGAAATCTACCGGACAACTTCTTCACAGAATCACAGAAAATTCTGAGTTAGGTCTTGTCCATGGGCAAAGCATTGGCAAACTCACACTGCTACCAACTGTAAGGCCCACATGTAGATGAAACCAACATTCATCACTTCTGCTTCATTACTTTGCTCCGTTTGGAAGTAAAGGAAGTATTTAAAACTTTCGAAGAGACTTAATTTTGAAACATTGAAATGTTTTAATTCAATTTAATTTTAAGAAATCTTCACTTAGGAAGACAGGTCACCAGGATTTTCTAGCCTTTGAGCTCTTGGTAAGAACTAAAAAGACAAACTCATCTCGCTTTACCAAAGGAAGGTTCCTCCAAATAACAAGAACAAACTGTGATCCAACAAGCAGCCCACAAGCACCAGGGATGTGATCACATGGCCTTGAACTGAAAAGAAACTGATTAAAAATTAACAAAGTTATTCTAGTCTGACCTTGGCTGCCCAGGCTGTGACAATGCTTTGCACTTGTGTGTGTTTCCACTGGAGGACCCCAGCAGCCTTTGGTTGCTGTTAGGGTTGATCACACAGCATGAAGTGAAGCATCTCTATGTTTATTCAGTAGAGACACCAAAAGGTTAAATTGACTTTCTCAGGATGTTAGTGTCAGGGTGTCAATTACTATGATAATTTGTAAAGAGTTCAAAATTTTATGTTTTACAAGCATTGGGAAAAATGGCTGCTTGCAAGGCTGTATCAGGAATCATATTAATGAGAAGCACGCTTGTCTGAATAACACCTGCATATGAAATGTGTATGCTATCCAGTCTGCACTGAAACCAATAGCAAAAGTCCTTTCAGGTGTTCAGCTGCCATAAGAACATCCAGGAAACTCTCTCAAATGCTAGCAAAATAATGTTTGTTTAAATGGAAGACAATTTGATTATATATTATTTTTGATATGTATATATCCCTAAAACCATACATACCTCTGATGTCTGGCAGTTGACCTGCTAGGGTTCATTTTCTGTGTGCCTTGTGGAGACTGGAGACACTGTTTTAATGCATTGTGTGGGGCCTTTCCACAGTGGTGACCTGGCTACTCGGGCTGTCTGCAGGCCCCAATGAGCCAGGGTAAACCAGGGCCATGGATCTGGAGTAAGAAATTAGGAGGATTTACTTCCTTTTGCTCAGTTTGGAGATGGCCAGATTCAAGCTTGAGCAGTGCGAGGAGGAGGCAGAGGAGAAATAGGAGTTGCAGCTGCTCCCAGGGCAGCAGGACATGCTGCAGGGAGAGTCATTGGGCCGTCCTTGGGTTGGCAGTGAAAGCAGTTGCTGTTCCACCCAACTAGACAGAAATACACCCAGAGAAGCTCTGCTGCAGGCATGTGGGTAGGTAATGTTGGGAGCTGGTGGTCCCATGTTCCTACTGCTCACTATTGGAGGACTGTCTGCAAGGACAGAGGCTGGAGGAGGCTTCTCTACATCATATGAATTATTCAAAGAGAAGAAAGAAACTGTAACCAGTTCTGCAATAGCAGAGCCAGTTTTGCTCCAGCTAAGCAAAACTTTCTCTGCTCCTAGGTATGTTCTCTCTCGTCCCTCTCTCCTCTCTCTCTCCTCTCTCCCTCTCTTCTCTGCTCCTGATTTGTACCAGGAGTAAAGGATTTCAGTGAAAGCTACTCGCCTGCCTGACATAACCATGAGGAAGTGTATTTTCCAACATCCCCTTCCTCAAAGTGGAGCTGGAACAATCCAGACATTTGGTATTTGTATTATGGAGACATCTAAAACCCAGAGACTGAGGGCCTGTGCAAGGAACCAGGAGAGGAATGGATGGGTGGATGTATAGTCCTTGCACGGCTTTGGCCCATATTTACGTCCCATTCAATCCTATGCACTCAGTTCAAACATCCAAATGAGGAGTTTGTAAGTGAAAACAACTCAGATACGGTTTATTTCTCTGGAGGAATCACTTTCTTGCTTTCTTTTTTTCTTCTCTCTATCTGTAGAGTTTGGATAGACCAAGCTCTGAACAGAAGTTACAGGGAAAGTGAGGGCACTGTGCCTGGAAGAATAATGTCAGTGTAGGTCAGGAGGAGGATTACCAGAACCATGGCAGCTTACTTAGGGACACCAGGTGGCCAGAGGCAGAACAGGAGCTGAGGTTTGTGGTTGGGCAGCAGCCTGCCCATCTGCCCTCCACATGGCAACTCTCAGCTGGGGACTTCCAGGGGAAACCAATTCTTATCCTGCTAGTGGCCTGATGAGGCACTGGTGGGTTCTTATTTTAACTTTTCTTGTGAGAGTAAGGTAATATGCCAAACACAAAGCTCTCCCTTTTTCTAACAGCCTGTGAGGTTTCTACCTTCCCCATCACCCAAAGAACAGGGAAGGGCTGACAGGGAAGAGAGTATATGAAATAGTTTGGTTTTTTGGTTTTGGGGCTTTGAGGTTTTTTTGTTGATTGGTGGTGTTTGGGGTTTTTTTGTTTGGTTGTTTGTTGTTTGTTTGTTGGGGTTTTTTTGGTTTGGTTTTGGTTGATTGTTCTGTTTTTTGTTTTTTGTTTTTGTTTTTTTTTTTTTATTCTTGTTGTCTATAACCCACATCCAATAACTGAAGCCTTGCCAAAAGCAGAAATTCTTCATTTGACTCCAGCCAATGTGCAGGCATGATAAGCATACTGGTAGGCTGCATTTCCATGCAAGTTTTCATTAAGTACTTTCTGCCGTGCTAGGAGAAGCATTGCCATCATGAAGTCACATAGAGTTGGACTGGCTCACCTCTTTGAACCACACTCTGTTTCAAAAATGTAATTGATTTAATTTATAACTAGAATTCCATTGCTTATTCAAACAGCTTTGCACCAATGCACCTCTGCATCTATCTGCCCAAGGGCCCAGCAACATCAATAATAAATGACCAGGCTGGGGAAGGCAAGTTTGGGTTCAAACCAGCAGGTGCATTGGGGTGAGGGGGCTCCCCTGGGTGGGGGGTACACAGTGAATGGGAACTGTAGCTTGCAATAATTCCCTCCCTGCAGAAAGGACTCATAAATGTTTAATAAACTTCTGGCCCTTGCCACAGATGAGGTCTTATTAATGAACTGGAGTGGCTTGAGGACAGGTATTGTGTCCGTTACTATAGCACCACCTTGCACAGGATCTCGGCATGAAAGAGGCAGGGGAGGGAGGGAAGGAGAGAGGGAGGGATGCACTGAGGATGAGCCCCAGCCAGCCAGCCTGAGGTTCGCCTGTGGAGCAGGCAGCTCATCCTGCCCAGGGACACTGGCCCTCAGCAGCACCTCCAGCTCCCCAGCTGCAGCCCCCAGATGAACTGACCCCGTACAGGTACCGAGTGTGCACAGATGCACAGCCGAGCTGCTGCGAGTGCAACGCCGAGTCCCTGAGTGCTTTTGAGGGGGCTTTGCTCCAGAGCTTTGCCCTTCTGGATTTGGAAGATCTGGTTTGATTTTTTTTTTTTTTTTTCTTCCATGCTCCTTTCTTGAGCAACTGGTTGGTATTGCAGAGGTCACCAAGGGGACCTGTGGAGGCTCCTGAATCTGGCATCGGGAAATATGACAGCAGAAGTGAATGCTTGTTGACATAAGGGATTTACTGAAGAAGAAAGACAAAATGCCTTTCAAAGGGCTCGGTTCACTGAAAGAAAGATTTTTTAACCCAGGAAAGGAAAAGGTGAAGAACACCATTAGTGACTCGCTGGGGAATCTGAGAAGGTAAAATCCAACAGAAAATTCCCAGATGGATCCATTGCTTCAATCTAGTAAGGAAAATGCAGTATAGAAAAACGTATAAACATGAAACAGAATTTAGAGTTGTAAAATTAATATCTGAGTTTAGAGGGTGAGACACCTTACTGTAAGACAGATGTAGAAGGAACACTGTTACAACAGCATATGACTATAGATCATAGAATATTTATATTAAACAAAAAAAGGTGAAAATAAGTTATGAAATAATGTTGTAATATTACAATGAGCTTGAAAAACTGTTTAATTAAAAACTTTTAAATAATTACATATGAATAATTCTGTAGTTTAGCATGCATGAGAAAAAGTAATGATTTAATGGGAATTAACACTCCCAAATGATGCCACTCCTGAATGGTATTTTCAGTTAGTGTTCCTAAATTACAGGTTTTGGAGTTTTTTAAATCTTGTTCTGAGTCAGTAAGAGAAAATATATTAAATAGAGATGTGTATGTGTGTGTTTATTGAGACTAGCAAATTAGAGAGAGAAAAAGGAGAAGCAGCTGTTTGCTAGTAAAAAGATAGAAAAGATTAAAGATTTTCATCTTAATCTGACAGTTTTATGAAACAAGAAATGGAGGATTTTTATTTTTAGATAGATGAAAATCTGTCGTAACAAATGACCAGTTTCATAAAGGGAAAGAGATTTCTCATTTAAATGGAAGATTATTTCTCTTAGTAATCGCCACTGACAACACTTATTTAATCAATAAATGAGAGCCAGAGGGTTCAGTGGCATTTCTTGCATACTTGATGTTAAGTGTTTTAAATCTTTGTGTGGATAAGGACAACATTTGAACTGAAGGTGTTTCTAGTGACTGAATTGAATCTGCTTTCATATCCATCCCTTTACCTTCTTTTAGGAATGCTATTTTGATTCCAGATACAGTTCTTGGCACATATAAACATGCTTCTGATAACAAGAAAATGTGTAATAATTTACATATACTATGCTGCAGAACATATATGCAAGAGAGTAAGAATGTACACTTTTAAGAGATACGTATTAGGAACTGCTAGATAACCAGTTACTCTACTTCTGTATTATGTGAACAAAGTATTTGTGTTCTACACAGTTTCTACTTAACTTTTTTTTTGTTTACGATGTTACAGATAAGTCTGACATTTTGCTTTTTTTACCTTTGCAATACTCTACAGTAATTCCAGGGAATCAGTTTTTCTTTAGGAACGTTAGATTAAGTCACTTACTCAATGATAAATTTTCTTTGCTGTGGACTTTGCTGGCCAAATTTAACCAAAACCGTGTCGGGTTTCTATCTTATGAGTATGTGATGGGGCAGTACACTGAGTTCACTTTAAATTATCCAGATTACTCTCCTCTTGTAACCATGTATCAAGGATATCATGCTGGTTTCCTACACAGTTGATAAGTACTGGCATCCAACTTCAGCAATACTGCTACTGAATCAAATTAAATCAAATACCAATTGAGATACAAGACAGTTTGTAAGCTTAATTATTTTCTGTTTTAAACATACATATCCTAATGCCTTCCTTAGATGTACTAGCCAGCGGAGGAAATAATCCAAACTATAAAGTCTTTTTTACTGTGTTTGCAGTCAGTTCTAAGTAATAATTGCTGCAACTTTAGCAATCTCGAAGGAAGTACGCAGTCATATTTGAAGGTTTCTGTAAACAAATGAAACAGGCATGTTTTTAACTTGAACTCCATTCTCTACAGCTTAGTCTACAAATGAGAGCATACACTTGTGTTTTCACATAGTGGTGCCTGTACATATGTATCAGCTGCAACCTTGACTTTGCTCTTTATCCAATCCAATTTGCTTTAATTTGGCGTAAATCAGCAAAGAATTTGGTTTCTCTTTCATTTGATAGATGACAAATTATATTAATGCGTATTCTTGATTAGGCTGTGCGGTGTGATTTCACTGACTGCAGTGTGTTGATGTGGGGTCAAAACTAGCAAAGTGGATAGAAAAATACTTTTTAGCTTTTGTAAATATGACTATTCTGTGCCTTCCCACCACGTTTCCTCTGTCTTGCAAACAACAGAGCAGACCCAGAAACTGGTACCTGGCAAAAGCAGCTGCCAGACACCGGCTGCTGCATAGTGATTGTCCACAGTCGAGCTCAAGTGCTAAAGTGCAGGCAGCGTAAAGTGACTCACTGGCCTCCTCACAGGTGTGCAACAACATCAAATTATTTTGTGAGTGCTGCAAAATAAGTCTGTTCACAGGAGGTGACTTTAGGGTGTCTGGATCCTGGAAGGGAGCAGGGGGGACTGAACTGGGAGACTCAAGGGACTTTGGCAGCAGTTTCATTTTGTGAGGTCTTAGAAGATGATCTAGAAAATGTTTTAAGTGTTTTGTATAAAATATTTTTAACACAAAATTTTTTTTGGTTGTTGATTAAGTATATACAGCGAGGAAGCAAAAAAAGAATAAAATTAGAGGATTCAAGGCTTGGGCGGATGAATATCAGAGCTGTGACTCTGTAAACCTTATGTTCCCCAGAAAAGAAATCCTTTCATGCAGAGCTTCTTGGCAGGCACAAACACTTTGGTCCTTCTGTGAACTTAGTGCAGTCAAAGAAAAAGTTATGAACTGAAGTAAAATCTTAGGCTCTCCCTGCTTAAGGATTTCAGGAGTCTTGGACGAGCTAAAGGCAACCGTGGGGTTACTGATGAAGTGGGAAGTGACTAAGTGGGTTTACAGCTAAATAATATCACTTTTGATGTGAAAAGTCATATAGGCCATGTCACGGCTGCTGTATGAAGTCTGGGCCCTGATAGGTGTAGCTCTGGCTGCTGCAGATGTCGCTTGGTGAATTAGCCTAAATTACTAGAAGCTGCAACTTGAAGGTGAATGATACACGCTTGCATCAGGCAAGGCTTCTCTGGCTGCACTGGACTCTCAAATTTTCCCTTTGCATACAAGTAGAGAGAGAGTTTAGTGCCTTCCAGACCACTGTGAGCACAACGTGGGGGGTCCAGATTCAGCTGATTTATGAGCTGTGTGAGGTGTCTTGTGCAACGGGGTTAGAGCAAGGGCACAATGCACACGTGTGGCGCTGCGGCATCCAAAGGGCATCATCCCTTCAGTGCACTGAGACTGTGCTGAGGAGAAACTGCAAGGTTGCCCTGCAGCCTGGGAGATGCAGTCCCTTGAGACATGCCATGAGTTTCATGGAAATACTACACAGAAACCAGCAAGACAGGTCCCATGGACTGAGTTAAGAGAGTTTGCCTGTCTGTACTGGGATTTGGTACCAGTGCGTCAATTCCAGGATTTGGTATGGAAAATTATCACCTGGGCAAATCCCTGACGAGTAAATAAGGTCTCAGAAGTTTTGTATCTGCTTTTGAATAAATGATGTTTTTCAGTAATCAGTGTATAGGTTTCTGAAGTTATGCAGAGATCATCATAATTACTGAATTTGTAGATGTGAGGTTTGAGTATTGTGTAGGATGGTGCTCCAGCTGCCTGTGAAAGCCTACAATATCTGATGAAATTCGTTCTCGAGTCTGTTTTAACACATTGCAAATATTAACATTTGCCTGTTATTGTAGAATTGATGAGGTTTTAATCCAATTAAATTAAATTGTATGATTCTAATCTACCTACTTTATCAATTGAAGAAAGAACTAACTCCTAGGCTAAAAATCCCATAAATACAGGTTGCCAAATGTAAATGAGCTCTAGGGATTTTATTTATTACTGATAAGAATTTTTGAAATGTCTTTAATTCTTTCAAAATTCTGTATATGCCAGAGTAGCCATTCAATAAAGAAAAGAAATGTTGCATACAGTAATTATGATGCTTGGGCACAGAACATGGATGCAGATATCTTCAAATAGCTTAGCTCTTCTTAGTTGCCAAGTATTGTATGTTTGATGAAAAAGGGAAAAACATACATCTAAGGAGTGAACATTTCCTGCGCAGCACAGTGCTCTTCTGCATGAGGCAGGTAATTATAGGACAGCACTGGTCCTGAAGCAGTATTCTTCTAAATCACTGGTGAAAGTTTTCAGTGACACTACCAAAATATATGGATCAATTGGAAGATATATCTATTCATCTTTTCGTGGGGTTGCCATATCTTCATTATATATCTGTTAAATACAATAAAACCAAAAGCTAGGTCAGACACTGGCTCTGTGAGTGTCTGCACTGCTCTAATGCCTATGTTTTTGGAGTGCTATTGCAAAATAGTTTTCTCCAAAACAAACCTGCTATAAAGGGCTTAGCATTAATCTTTGGGGGTATAAAATATATTGTATAGATTTGGTATCATGGATCAGTGCTCAACTTGCTTCCATTATTAATTAGTCAAATACAACAGCAAAGCAATTAATTTTCCTGTAGAGACAATATTGGTCCATAGTGTTAGTCTTAGCTCACCACTTTCAGCAGTGAATTTGGAGCAGAAGGATGTTTTCATGCCTATCTGAATTGACAGCCAGCTGAAAACATCCAGTTCAGAACAGATGTTTTGTCTTTGCATGATGTGTCTATTCTTTGCCAGCTGCCCACAATAATGAACCAATTAAAGTCTAACGTCTCTCTTATAAATAGAGCCCAGTAAAGGTACAAAAATTTTAAAATTGTGCTTTGATTTTATTCAATTAATATCTTAGATTATTTTAGGGGAAGACAACTAATTTATTTCTTTCAGTTTGTTAATAACACTTTTGAGATGACAGCAGCTCTAAAAAATATTTATTCAATTGTCTTTTCACTTCCAGATGTCTTTATTTTTGATATTTCATTCTGTTTACATCTACCTATATTAACACATAGAGCATGGAATATATGGTGTCTCCTTTTTAAAGTGCCTGACTGCATTACTCTCTGTACTCTCATTTCACTAACAAATGCTGTTTCCCTGCCAGTGAATCATAAGTTCTCAATCACCCTCAATAACACCACAGCAATATCATGTTTCCTGTGTTATCTTGCATTAATGCAAAGTCTGCTCCAACCTGACCATGAGCTAATGATTACTTTGCAGTGAGCACTGGTTTGAGAAAGGGATCAAATCAAATAATTATGGGAGTTCCTTTTTGGCCCCAAACACTGGGATTCTAGTGTTTCTTGAAAATGTGAGCTGACAGCCTGTAAAATGTTTTTTTTCTTTTTGTTAAGACTAAGGCTGAAGTAATGGGTTTATGGTATGTAAAAGGGGATAATGTAGCAAATGATGCACCAGTTAGCTCTAAAGCCTAAAAATAACGAGATTTCTAAGTGGAACTTTATATTGGAAAGATATATTTAGGTCCACAAGAAGCTCCCCGGGAAGCTATACTCACCACCTATATTTGCAAACCCTTTAGTACAGAGTACTATTAGATTATGAGTAGTACGTTAGACAGCAACTGGACAAAGCTGTGATTAAACCAACCCAAAAAACCCAACCAGCTACCGTGTAGATAAATCAGGTGTAACCCATCCATGTATGGTCTGTCAATATTTCTTTATAGTCTATTTTTATATGGAAAACCAAAGTGCCTTAGATTTAAAATGCACTCAACCGGATGTGTGAAAGAAGGAAGGAAGTTATTCCTTATCAGAAAAGAGTGAATGAAATAATTTCCTCATCTTATATGGGAAGCTGGGCTTCCTTTAGATTAACTAACTGTTCCTATTTTCACAGTACTCCATGTAACTTCATGGTAGACGCAAAAGGAGCTGGATTCCGAGCTCACTTCTTCAAAGTGATGCCAAAACTGAAAGGCTTTATAATGTAGCTACTGATCAAGGCCTCCCTTAGCAAACACTTAACATTAAGATAGTGGATAGTGTTTAGTGGGCTAGTCATGTATTCATGGCCAGTCATGTCCTTAAGAGTTTCAGCATGTCAGAAAACCCATATCCTGTATTTAAAACAAACGCTTGGAAAGTTAATGTTAGGAAAGGAATTATCTAGCTCTGATCTGGGAGGGTGTGTTCAGTTCTTTCGCACCTCACCTTTTCTACTAGAGATTTTCCACATTCCCTGCAGTATGATGTTAATAACCCTAATCAGACTGGGAGACCAAATTAATTTTTAATTGCACTATCATGCAATTCCAGATTCCATGGAAATGCCATTTTTTTAAATATTAATCTCTCAGCTACATTGCTTGTAGGACTAGTAAAGGCTGGGTATGCAAAGCTGGAGGAGCTGCACTCCTATGTTAGCAACTGGTGGGAAACCTCTCACAGGCTGATATAGCTGGGTGCCATTTGCTCCTATTCCAAGTAAATGGGGGAGCTTCCATCCCTGGCATCTTCCTTCCCAGTTCCTCCCAGCTGCACTGCAGTTGCCACACCAAATTTGATCCCAGGCAAAACTGTTTCAGCCTCCACTGCTGAGAAATGGTGAATCAACAACCCAGAAAGTTCCTGTCTTCCTTCAGATCTCATTTAACAGTGAGTGTTTTACACAAAGGGCAATATGTTCAACAATAGGAATTGCACTGATTCACTGTACAGTGGCCTAAGTCCTTGTGGTGAGAGTGATGTTTCAGAGAAGGGGGAACATGTGGCTTCAAATCCCTTTGGGAAGAGAAAGTCTGGGCTTGTCTCTTCCATGTCTTAAGTGGGAGCTCTGATACCAGAGACTTTTTTCCTCTGCAGTACAGCCTTGGTTTTTGTCTCACAGGAGAAAACAAATTCCAAGATATTTTGGGCTGAGCAAAACCATTATTTGTGTTGTATTTACCCTTTTCTTGAAATCTAGTGGCACCTCTTATTAGTAGATCTAGTTAGAACTTATGGTTAATTTTGTCATATGTATACTTGTCTGAGAATTGGTGGAATTCATCACAACAGACCTCCATTTAGTTCTCATAGTTATGCTCATGAATAGCCTGTGAACATTTTTGCAGCTAGCTGTCTGGCTAGACGGCTCAGATTTATAAACTTCAGAGGTCATTCATGGAGAAGTGTAGTCTCAGCACTAGCCCAGCACTAACTCATCATACCACCAAGACACAAGTGCCTCACAAGGAGATGAGTTAGCAGGTGACTGGAGCACATAACTGTCAATCCACATTTCAGTAAAATTTTACTGAGACAATAAAGCATTTTCAATTTTTCTTTCTTAATCCATTTAGGAAAATCGATGGCATCAACGTAGAGGAGGATCACATTGAGCTGACAGAAGAGGGGCAGCCCGTGCAGGCAAGCACCCGCAAGCCAGCGCTGTGTGAGTGCTATTGCTGTGGGCTGCCCAAGCGCTACATCATCGCCATCATGAGCGGTCTGGGCTTTTGCATCTCCTTTGGAATTAGGTGCAACCTAGGTGTTGCCATTGTGGAAATGGTGAACAACAGCACTGTTTATGTCAATGGGAAACCAGAGCTGCAGGTGAGAAAGCATCTTTCTTTCACTCTTCTGAGCAGATCCCACTGCAAAATCATAGGGCCACATAGTGAAGTAGTGTGGCAAAAATCTGAGGGAGGGAGACACATGAGTCTCGATTCACGTAGATGTGCAAGTACTTAATTCCTATTTATGTGATGAAGTCACATTAAAAATCTGTAAAATTATAGAATCATAGAATCAGCCGGGTTGGAAGGGACCTCTGAGGTCATCAAGTCCAACCCTTCCACTACCACCGTGGTTACTAGACCATGGCACTAAGTGCCACATCCAGTCTCATCTTAAAAAAAGGATGGAGAATCAACCACTCTGGGCCCATTTCCAATGGATGCCTCTCTGTAAAGAATTTCTTCTAATATCTAACTAAAACCCCTGGACCAGAAGGATGCCCTTGTTACTGATAGCTGCCTGGGGAGAGACCAACCCCTACCTGGTCAAACTTCCTTTCAGGTAGTTGTAGAGAGTGATGAGGTCTCCCTGAGCCTCTCTCTTCTCAGCTGAAAACCCCCAGCTCGCCTCTCCTCATAGGACTTGTGCTCCAGTCCCTTCACCAGCCTCGTTGCTCTTCTCTGGACCTGCTCCAGCACCTCAGTGTCCTTCCTGAACTGAGGGGCCCAGAACTGCACACAGTACTTCAGGTATGGCCTCACCAGTGCTGAGTACAGGGGAAGAATCACTTCTTTGGACCTGTTGGCCACACTGTTCCTGATCCAGGCCAGGATGCCATTGGCCTTCTTGGCCACCTGGGCACACTGCTGGCTCATGTTCAGCTTCTTGTCAATCCACAATTCCCAGGTCCCTTTCTGCCTGGCTGCTCTCCAGCCCCTCTGTCCCCAGCCTGTAGTGCTGCATGGGGTTGTTGTGGCCCAAGTAGAGAACCTGGCACTTGGCCTTGTTGAACCTCATCTCACTGGAATCAGACCAACTCTCCAGTCTGTCCAGGTCCCCCTGCAGAGCTCTCCTGCCTTCCAGCTGATTGACATTCCCCTCCAACTTAGTGTAATTTGCAAATTTGCTGATCTGAGGATTTGCAATGTCATAGAGAGGATGTAAGTAGCAGAAAGGAGAACTGAATTGGCTTGCATGTCTACCAGGTCCCTGATTTTTCAGTTGTAGACAGATTTTGCTGTGGTGGCAGAAGCTTTTACTATTTAGTATCTCTCATGGAAACATGCTCTGATGCTGCTACCGGAGGAATTATTAGTTGTTTTATGTAGGGCTGCACCCACTCTATTCAGATCAGTGGATAGTTTTCCAGATCTTAAAGCAGTCACAGGCAATAAGGCATGGGGTTATCAACAGTGTGGACTGCTGCCTAGAGGTGATACAGAGCTAGGTACCAAGCTATTTTCAAATTTGCATGTGGTCCACAGCAGATGCTTACATATCTTTATCAATGCACCCAAGGAACTGCAGGTTCAATTCATACCTTAGTTTTGCCTGTCCTGCCTTGGTATATGGCTGTGATATCATGAGTCTCCTAATGGACTTTATAAACTTTACATTTGCTCTTCTTGCTGACTTATTTTTTGATATCTTTTTAATATTTTTGTCTTAATTCACACGAATATTGACTCTTGAATGAAATGCTGTGCAATTATTCATCAGCTTCTCTCCCAGATATTTTAACTTTTGGTAAAGAAAAGTTCAGAAGGCATCTATAGTAAATTACCAAAGTTAAAAGTACGCCTGTCTTCATGACTCATGATGATAGGAGCTTTTGATCTGCAAAGATCAGAGATGATGCTTATGATTCTAGGACTGGAGTTTAAATGAATCTTCCTTCCCACATTATGCCATGGCCAGTCCTACAGTGTTTTACTCTCTCCTTCCTAGCTATCAAGCAGAGTATTTCTAATCAGACTCAATAAACCCCCAAAAGATTAACCAAAGTGAATGAAGAATTTCTTTGTGGGGAGCAGCTCTGTGGAAAGGGACCTAGGGGTCCTGGTAGACAACAAGACCAATATGAGAGGACAGGGTACTGCTGTGGTAATGAAAACCAAAGGAATGCTGGGTTGCATCAGCAAGATCATCACCAGCATAGATAAAGAAGTCATTATCCCACTCTACTCAGTACTTGTCAGGCCACACCTGGAATACTGTGTTCAGTTTGGTCCCCCCTGCACAAAATAGATGTAGACAGACTGGAGAGCATCCAGAGAAGGACCACAAAGATTAATAAAGGACTGGGAAGCCTGCCATGTGAGGAAAGGCTGAGGGGGCTGGGTTTGGTCACCTTGAGAAAAGAAGGCATAGAGGAGGCCTTATCATCACACTCCAGTATTTATTATTGTGTTTCTTTTGCCAAAAAAGAACGAAACAGACAGTCCTTGAGATCCACCTTCCAACCTGGTATTCCATGGTTCTATGATCCTAGTTCTTCCTCAGCTGCAATTTCCTCTGACCAGCTCCTGCTTAGATAGATTTATTCTTTATAATCCCTGCTCCCTGTGATCCTGCTGGGATTTCACAGTTCTATACTTAACCCTGAAACAAGAGAAAGGATGTGCCTGCATAGGTTGGGAGGCTCAGAAGAGGTAGTTTCAGGAAATTGGGATAAATTCCTTTCACAAGTCTAAACTTATACTGTTTGGGCATGAGCATCTCCTGAATCAGAAACTTTTTCGATGTCACATGGTGTTTCTGCCTTCAAAAATTAACACTACCTAGAAACTTATCTGGAAATCACCAGCAGAAAATTAGGTATTTATACAGAAGTGTAGCTCAACACAGGAAAGTGGGTCTCTTGTCAAAATGCGTGTTGATGAGGAGGGAAAACATTTAGCCCTCTGTAAACATGTCTGGCTAATTAATGCCATCTTTCTCCCTGCAGGTCAAACAATGAGCTGTTTTTTAGTTTGTTTGGGAGTAAAAAGCAACTTACTGGGAAAAACTGTTCTTTTTACACGCAGAAAGTAATACCAAAAAATGAGATGTTAAGGTTTATCACTATAGTTGTCATTTCTCTGTGGCATTTTAGTGACAGTTTTAATCCTGAATCCAAAGGACATTTGTGCTGCTTCCTCAGATCATACTTAACCACCTTTCCCTGCCATGTGATTAGCATGAAAATGACCATGAAGCAAAACACAGTGGTTTTTTATTGCTTGAAAAGAGTTCTTCAGAACTGAGGGCTCATTGAGAAAAACTTGACACTGACCTTACAGTAGTCTGTTTATACTGAGCCAGGCCCTTTCTGCCCTCACAGAATGGAGGGCAGTAAGGGCACCTTGGATCCACCTTCCTTTTCTTCACTTTCTTTATGTTTTGCCCTGGAATTTGGCTATCCCTCTTCTGAACAAGGTATGTCAAACAAGGTCATCAGAAGACAGGGAAATGCTTATTCAGGAAGAGCTTTGAGAAGACTGAAACTGCTTAGTATTCAACTATGAGGAAAGCTCTTCTCTTGGCTGCAGGCATTTTTGTCTAGGAACCACCTATGACCAGCCTGTGGCTGGCCTTTTGCATCCAAATCCAGCGCTACAACTGGCATCACTTTTAATAAAAAATAAACTAGTCAGTAGCTAGTGTTACCTAGTTTTATTTTCAGATTTCCTTGTCTTCAGGTCTTACGTCCTTCACCCCCCACCTTCTCTGCTCCCATACCACTTAGTGCTGATCGTGGATGGCCAGAGTTTGGCCTGACAGGGAGAACTATGGGTAAGTCTGACCATGAGTTGAGTCCAAAGAATGTAAGCAACCTTGATAATCTTGGGAAAATAGATTGAAATCTAGCAATAACATCAGGCTGGAAATAAGGAAGGGTTCGTATTGATTATTGGACTACAGGTATTGGATGAATCACTGACACACAGGGATAATGGTCTGACTTACATTCCCAATACGATCAGTCCACCAGAAGAATTGCTCAAGACCACCAGTGTTGGACATACTCTCAATCTCCTGCTCTGATTTGCCATTGGAATGTGACTGGAGTCACCAAGAAAGGCAAGTCATCCTAAGGCTGAGAGATTCTGTGATAACAAGGTGTTGGAGCACAAGGCAGGTCACTAGAGGGAAAGAAGTGAAGAAGAACAAGCTGGGGAGCTTATGTGCCAGAACAGTGGAAAACATGACTTACCAGTTTGCAGCACCTGGTCACTGTTATTTTCATCTTAAAAGCAGGGAGTGTGAATGGCACTATAACACCTAGTGAGGTACCATTGAAAGGCTTCAGGTCCTTCTTATAACTCTGAGCAGGCTCAAAAGCAAAGGTTTCAGGATGAAGCAGCCCAGGGGGAAGCAGTGGTAAGTGGCAAAGATGAAGGTCCAGTGTTAACTACAACCTGGCTGAACCCTTTCCCCCTCTTATCCATTCAACTGAAAGCTAAGAAAAAAAGCAGCAATCTCACATGGAAATCAGATATCCTTCTGCCTTAACTGGGGGTTTCAAGCTCAGCAAGCCCAAGCAGCCAGTGTAAAGAGGCTGCCTTTATTTGGAGGATGGTGTGACTTCTGTGTGACTTCCAAACAATAGTTATCTTCCAGTGAGTATGCTTCATTTTACAGCATTTTTCCCATTTCCTTTAAAGACAGCCCAATTCAACTGGGATCCAGAGACCGTGGGACTCATTCATGGCTCTTTTTTCTGGGGTTACATTGTGACACAAATTCCAGGAGGGTTCATTGCAAACAAACTGGCTGCTAACAGGTAAGAAAAAAATAAGCAAAAGAATTAAGCTTTAGAGCCTGATGACAGTTTTACACTTCTGTTTAAATTATGATTAGCAAAATAGTGAATTAGTGTGTTTCAGAAATGTACATTTGAAACTGAACATGCAGTATTTATGCCTATAATTAAAAATGGGACTCAATTTCCATTATAGGCCTATTGGTGATTCTTCCAATTTAGTTGGTTCATCTCAAATATTTATACGTTTCTTCTCTAAACAATAATGCTATCTGGAGAGTGTTAGGAAAATCACACCTAGTGCTTCAGATAATGGTTGTAGCATTTGTCTTTCAGAAATTGCCTTAGTGCCTTTTAGCTCAACTTAACACCAAACAAGAATTTTCCAACAAAATCTGACCTTTCTGCTTTAAAAATTCCATGTGGACTGAAGCATGAAGGAATTGCAGAGCTATTTGTCTTCTGAAGCCACAAATCTATCCTAGTGCACACAAACATCCTGGACATGGCTGGATCTAGTACTGACTGTAATTAGGATTGCATAGAACTTGTAATAGAGCATCATGATTTCTGTTTGGTGACCTTTGAGCATCTATACAGATTTCTTTTACGATCAATGTGTTTGTCAGCTGATTTTATTTTATTTTATTTTATTTAAATTCAACTGCTTTAGAAAATGTGAGTAAGAAAAGTGGTTAATTTTGTCAACAGTAACTTTGAGTTTGGACTTTACTTCAAAAAGTCTTAAGAACTTGGAACACGGTCTCTCAGAAGAGAGGGGGAGGTTGTCTGAAGACAGCTGGTTATGAACGAGCTCATGAGATTTGCATGTTTGGGGCATTTTTGATTTTTAGATTAACAAAACAAGATGATTGGTACTAATTTCATTTTCTGCAAACAAGATGTGATTTAGCTAAAACCACTGTCAGAATTGGAAAAGTCTTTAGCACCATTTATATGTTGTTTTTCCCCAAATCAAAGTACTTTGCTCTGCCTTCTGCAAAGAGCTATAGGGGTTACAAGACTGCCTGGATGTTCTTCCCACCATATATCCTTGCAGAAATTACTCCAGAACAGAGTCATCCCATAGAATTGCCCAAACTGTTCAGTTCCAAATCCCCTCTGTCCATAACCAAAAGTTACTCAGAGTTCAGTTTACACTGCTTCTTCAACACTCTTAGCATCCTCAGTTATTAATTTCTCTACCACGTAACAGTGCCTAAGCAGAGTATTTTTCCATCTGACAAATAAGACAAACAAATTAGCTAAGCTTAATAATTTCCCCAGCCTTTCTAGTCTTGCCACCAGCTTTTGCAGCAGAAGGGCTTCAAAACACAGATGTGCACACTGTGGTTGAATAATTCAGCATATTATTAGTTTGGCTTTTGTTTCCTTAATTTACTTGCAAACAGTAAAATCAACCACATTTACACTGTAACTCAATGTATTCTGTCAGCAGACTACTTCCTTAAGTGCATTTTTCCAACTCAATCTAATGCTCCACTACAACTGGATTTAGGAGTAGAATTTACTGAGGAACAAAAATAGCTCAAAAGCTGAGCTTGAAGAGAATTTCTGCTTGCAGTAATAGGATTCACAGGTCTGGCTAAGTCCATGTTTTTCCTTTATTCCTTGTTTACCCAATCAATTTCAGCTTAGGTAGATTCACCAGTGGTGCCAAGTTGTTGTTTCAGAGGGGTTATTTGCTAAGACACAGGATAGGAAAACAGCAGTTCTGGGACCAGTGAACCCATCATCCCTAGAAAGACAAATGCTGTCTTTTGTCTCATCTGTACTCTGGAACTGAAATTGTATCCTACTAGTGACGTTGTAGATTTAGGCAAAGGCTCTTTTGCCATGTGTTTGAACTGTGCAACCTTGAATATACATGGATGCCTCCACCCCAGGCAATTCTCTGTTGGACATAATTATCTGTAATAATCTAGGATTCAAATGGATCTCAGAATAGCTGAAAATATTGAGTGCTTTATGGTTTTGCAGCAAAACCATCTAACACTATATAATTTGCTCTATACATTGATCCAACTTGATGTAGGTCAGCATTCCACCGAAAAGTTTATGAATCATTTAGTGACACCATCTCTTTGACTTGCTGCTTATCCTCAAATATGCAGCTAAATGTAATTTCATCATTGTTTGGTGTATACACGAAAGACAAGGCATCTCTTGATACTGGTGTTTGGTAAGAGCACCCTGCTGGGCAGAGAAGTGTGTTGCTGAAGAAGTCTGTTTTGATCCCAAAGAGGCCTGAGGATCATGATAGTCAGGAGAGAAGAATATGTGAATGAAGTGAAAAGAAACTGGAATATTTTTAATCAAGGTATAGACCAACTTCTTTGGGATAAATGGCAGTGAACTGCTGAAAAGCTGCTGCCTCTTTGTGGAAACAATACTCAGCTTTTTAAATAGTAGCAGAAGAGTGACTGGTTCTAACTCAGTATAAATGATGCATTTATAACCCAGGCATATTAACAACTGGCATTGAAAGAAGTAGCAGAGTTCGGAAACTCAGTCTTCAGAGCTACCTGTTTGGATAATTAAATACATTCTCTTTCTCACAGTTTATTCTTTCACATGTGTATTAATTTACATGATTTGCTGTAGTTCCATGAGTCAACAGCATTATGATAACTGACCTGATATTTCTATTAGTGGTAAGAAAGCAAGGTGCAAAAGTCTTTTCTTCACTGATCATAATAGATAAGTAATACTTATTTCTCAGTTAAACATTTACTTGGCTTTGAAAGCAATCTTCTCAATGTCAAGATATGACTGTGGCCTTTTTATTCTAGTTCATATTTTCAGATTGGTTTCTATATAGTTCCCTTGTCACTTCTCTCTGCCAGCCTGCTCAGCCTCTTTGCTATTGTGCTCATCTGTTTAGTGCTTTCTTGTCACTGAGGTAGTGAGTTGGTTTTGTCAATAGGTGTAGAGAATTTAGATAAAACAGTGTTGATCTCTGACTGTAGATTCCTCACACTATAATACTACCATTAATCCTACAGCAAAAACTAAGACCAGGAAAAAAAAATGAAATCACGTATATTTCCTGTGAATAAGTTTTCAAAAGAGACTGAAAGTCAAACAATTGAAATCCTTATTAAAAAAAAATAAAATAAAAGAGGAATTGAAACAAAAAGTTCCAAAAATTTATAAATATTTTGAAGTGGAACGTGATAAAGAGCTATCTGTAATAATATTTTTTTATGTCTTTGCCAGAAAAAATCAAAACGGAGAGAAATACTGCTGTTGTCCAAACCACAAAATTTCTGATCAAATATCTTTCTAATATGATTCATGTATCAGAATGAAGCTTAACTTGTCTTCCTGAAATGCCACACACATAACAAGACAATTCAAAGCTTATTAAATGTCACTGAATTTGAGTGGTTTGAAAAACAAACATGAATTACAGTTCACAAACAGCAGCATGCTGGTAGCTAATAGTGTTGCTAGGAATTGAGGACCCTGAACAAAACAGGCTGCTTTATTCCCAGGGTGTCACCTTGAGTCTTGGAGCAAGGCAGGGCAGCTTTGGGTTGATGTCCCATGTCCTTGCGTTGTGGTCTGCAGGGCCACCAACTGCTGCAACTTTCTAGCTGCAGAATAAAAGGTGTCCCATACAAAGACTGTCCACAGGGAGCCAGGCATGGCTGCTTGCAATTGCAGACAACACAAAGAAGACAGTAAACTACTGAAGATTAGTAGCAATCCATTCAATTTAAATGGTGCTTGGCAATTGTGGAGAACTCTGACTGCCAGTTCTGATATTTTTCAGTGCTGTAACAGGATCTCAGAGGGGATCCTCATGTATATCAACTTCCACAGATGCTATAGTAATGAACTCCTAATGTTCAGAGCACTCATGACACAGCTATTGAATGAACCCCATTCATTGCACAGAAAGGAAACCTGAGGCTTCACTCAGCCAGATGTGAAGATATGTGAAATCTAATCAAGCAAGTACAGCTCATTCCTACTAATGGTAGTCATTTCAGTGATGGTTCCAGCTGGTTTTTCCCAGCCTCTTTCTTGGTTTCCAATGATTTTTTTCATGATGCAGCAGTCTCATTTTTCAAATGAACTTCCCAGATGTCCTTTCTGGGCACAAACTGGGAACCCAGGGATACTCTTCCCTTGCATTGCAGCATCAGTGCCTGGCAAACCCAGAGCCTCTGCCATACTGAAATGACTGCCTTGTAGTCCAGCTGTCTTCCATGTCTAGTGTCACTGTTGTTTATTATTGTCACTGGGCACTAAGTGTGCACCACTCTTCAGTTAAATACAGGAAAGCCCATGTCCATGTTGGGAAAAGCTCCCACAGACTGTGGTGAGTGCAGCAGACACGGCTTTGAGTGCTACCCTAGGGACCTCTGTGTAGCCTGCACTTTCAGGACTGCTGCTTGCATTCATTACCATTACACAGAGGTTTCTGCTGCCTGTTTCTCTAACAGGTGCTAACCTTTGGGAGGCTGCAAATGATTTCCCAAAGGTGCTGAGCCCCAGGTACATTTAGATCCTCAACTGACTTAATGTCCAACTGCAGCAAGTACTCTTCCCAAGCAGGGTAACAAAATATTTATATCACATTTTTCCCAGAATTTGTCTTGCAGAAATGTCCCTTCTATGTCATAGTCATAAAGGACATTTGTAGCTGTTATTTAGAGAAGTGATGTTGGAAAGGAATTGATCTTAAGCAGCCCTGTTACCCATTCTAGCAGCAGCAAGGGGAACTAACCAGCACGTGGGAGCATGTTCACAGAGGCACTTAAACCAGGCCATACCTAATTTAAGTTAAACCCTCTTGTTATAACAGAATTTAAGTACCTCCTGGGATAGCAATACTTCTCTCAGGTCAGGATTCATATAAACGGTACCTCCGGGCCTCCAGTACCTCCATATCTAATTCTCTTGATACAAATAGAAGTCCAGCACCTTTATTTAAGCATGTACAAAAATCTGTTCCATTCAGAGAAGAAAATGTATAGACCACTTGAATATTTATCCCCTTTTAACAAAAAGGGGACTTTATAAGTGTTTGGGTTGTTGAGATGGTGGTTAAGTGTAATTGTCTCTGCAACTGTAACTGAAAACAGTGTCACTTCTGAAAAATAGACAATAATTGTATTCTCTTTCATGGTACTTTTCTCCACAGGGTATTTGGAGCAGCTATCTTTCTGACATCTACACTGAACATGATCATCCCTTCTGCAGCAAGAGTGCATTATGGCTGTGTGATGTTTGTAAGGATTCTTCAAGGTCTGGTGGAGGTAGGAGCACTCACCATTTTGGTCCTTTCAAACATAGTTTGTTTTTTGAGATTTAGTTCTAAAACATTGTAAGATCTTTTTGATCAAGCTTTCTGATTGACCTACAGTTTAACTTGTTACTTATTTTTAGATGATAACTCTTTAATCATGCTGATTCATATTTTTAAGTTTACTTACAAGTAAAGAAAAAATTATATTTCTGGTGCAGCAGTTTGAGCTATTTTAGTTTACTTGTGCCATCCACTGCATATACTAAACAGCATTTTTACCTCAGAATGTATGTATTACTACTGAAGTAAAAAGTAATCAGGATCGGTTTGACATCTTCATACCCAAACAATTGAGCTCTTCCAAACTTAACTAACCCTTCCTACATCATTCCATGATGACAAACGCTAGACAGTATGGATAGTATGAGCAACTACAATACCCTCAGGTACATGGTGTAACTCTTGGGAATGGTCCTGTGCAGGGGCCAGGAGTTGGACTTGATGATCCTTGTGGGTCCCTTCCAACTCAGCATATTCTGTGATTCTGTAATACTTTAAGTGGAATGCAGTGAAAGCAAATCATATGATGTGTGAAATGTCTGCCAGGGCGTCACCTACCCAGCCTGCCATGGGATGTGGAGTAAATGGGCTCCGCCGCTGGAGAGGAGCAGGTTGGCTACCACATCATTCTGTGGTAAGTTGATAGTTTATGTGATTTAAGTAAGTACATATTCCTACTGGATTTATTTTATTAATTTCATTATTTGAAAGAGAAATACGAACCCTCTGCCCTTTGCTACAATCAACTTGTACTCTAAGCTCAGGAACCTGAGAGTCCTTTTTGTTTAATATGTCACCATTTTATCATTTGAAGCCAACACTCATAATGGCTCTCATAGTAAACTAAAATGGGTCTAAAGGTGTCACATGAAAGAAATTACACTGTATTTTTTTATCTGCTCCATCCTTAGTGATTCCATTTATTATACATACTGAATGGATGCTCTGAAACAAACACATACTCAGAAATTATCTTAAAAGGGCTTTAGGCTGGCTTCTCAATATACTGCAGTGGAGATGATGTAACTTCTCACCAGTAGCCGTTCTGCTTCATTCTGAGTTATGATCAAACACGTACTTTGGCCTTTTCTCTGAGTCCCTTTCCAATGCTGACAGCTGAAGATGAATGTCTGTAGGAGAAAATGTTCAATAGAAAATGTAAAAATCATAGAAAAAATTCTGTCCATCAGCAGTGGAGTTGTAAGGCTAGGGAAAATATAGCACTAAAATATGAGATAAGGGATAAAAGGAGGAGTGAAGCAAGAGGGAAAATCCCATGTTTGCATATCATGGGAATTTTATTTTTATTACAGATTACTTCAGGATTTAGTGATTATTTAAGTGTTTCCATTTTCTGCAGAAGAACAGATCAAAAGAAAAGTCTCTCCACACTCAGTGCTCTCTCCTTGAAACCCTAGCACTGGATATAGAAAGATCACAGAATCGTAGAATCATAGAATCAGCTGGGTTGGAAGGGACCTCCAAGAGCAGGACCCAGCACTTGGCCCTGTTGAACCTCATTCTGTTGGATCAGCCCAACTCTCCAACCTATCCAGGTCCCCCTGCAAAGCCCTCCTGCCTTCCAGCTGATTGACACTCCCCCCCAGCTTAGTGTCATCAGCAAATTTGCTGATAGACTCAATCCCCTCATCTAAATCATCAGTAAAGATATTAAACAGAACTGGGCCCAACACTGATCCCTGGGGGACGCCACTAGTGACTGGCCGCCAACTGGATGCAACACCGTTCACCACCACTCCTTCAGCTCAACACCAGTTTTAGTGGCTACAGATCACTGAGTCTTGCACTTGTAAGATGCACAGGAACAACAGAAAAATTAGGAAAACCCATATTAACCAGGTTCCTGGTTTCTCTATTACATTGTGGCCTAGGACTTTTCTATTGCTGTAGGAAAAATGAATTACATGGAGATGAGGAGAAGGATCACTGTGAACCATTGCAGAGGAATATTTGCTAATGAGTAGATTATTAACAAGTGTTTATTAGTGAAGTATGTAATACTCTCAAAATCACAAGTATCTCATTTCCTAGAATAATTCAAAGCAACACTCTTCACATGTGAAGCCACTGGCACTGTCTTGCACTGAAACCTGCTGTCCAGATTGCACTTAAATACTCATCTCTTTCTACAAGTCACTTGGAAATATATTTCACCACTACTATATATTTCACAATCAAAAGCCTTGGCACAGACCATGTTTTTATCCTTACTTTTCCCATCAATATTTGCCTATTTATTCCAACTGTTTGTTTATGCCACTGATATGAACTAAACATGGCTACACAGACACAGGTTTGGTTTGAACACTCTCCCCACCGCTAGCTCTTGTGTGGTCATGAATCTAGAGCCATGACAAGAGCCTCCCCGAATATCTGCAATCATCAGGATTCCTTGGCACCAAGGAAGACTTCCAAAACTTGGGTCATTAGCTTCACCGAAACTCACCTCAAATACCATGGGGTTAGGTGAGATTTCCCACTCGAGTGCATACACACAGCTTATGCCTCTGTGATGGTTTGTCATCAGTCTTGGATTTGCAGATCCTATTTACCTACAGGGCACAACCCTTCTAACTGCAAAATGAGACTGGTGATCTCACACCAGCAAGGGTCAGTCCTTCCCACCACCCCAAGCAAAATTTTGGAGCTTCCATCCAATTTTTCACGTTCATAAAAAGTCAGCCAAATATGTCCCTCTGGTTCTTCCCCCACGAACACCTGTCTTGACCATCTGTTCTGAAAGCTGGGCACACCTATCATGACTGATACGTTTTACTAATCCATTTTCTCCTCAGGGTCTTATGCAGGGGCGGTGGTCGCCATGCCACTGGCAGGTGTGCTGGTACAGTATATAGGATGGTCATCTGTCTTCTACATTTATGGTGAGTTGCTTAACACGAAGGACCTCTGCCACTAGACTGGTACTGCCAGCTATTCCCTTAAACCTGTCTAACAGGTATGGATCAAAGTTGTTTTGATGAATGAAGAGGTTGCAAATGGGTATTCCAATTTATTCTCTAGTTATTGCAGATTCTGAGAGCTTTCATTTTGTAATCATCTGTTACAAAAGATTGTAAAATTGTCATGACCAGCCTACAGCCCATGGCTACCCAGTTGCAAAGGTTCCTCTGCAGCACAAACACTTGTGTGGTATCTGCCCCAGATGCACACTAACAGTGAACACCACAGCATATGCTGCCGAGGGGGAACCCAATACCTCTGAAAACTTCTGCCCCGACAAATCTTCCCCATGCTACCCATCTTCAGTAAAGCAATGCCACCCCTACAAAGTGGTCCCACTACACATGCATGGCCTTGTTGCTGATCTGTTGTGCCTCATTCTTCCCCCCTCCACTATGTGGAAGAACTGGCTCCAACCTAGCCTTGCATATCAGCGACCCAGTTAAGACAGGTTTTCTCTGGAGATACAGGACACACCACAAGATTTGCCAACACCATCTGATTGTGAAATCCCTTTATGCAGATTTTGATCGTGTTATGGCCTGTCTGCTTTTTTCCTTTCCCAGGTTCTACACAGAGCTTTCCTTCTGCCTTTTCTCTGCCCCATGCATAACATGTAATACAAGCAACAAAATGCTAAAATACTTTACCAGCAGGCATACAATATACATAGAGTTAGTTACAGTACTTTGTTACTTCCCTGGGCATAATTTCTGTGCAGGTTTGGTTTAACTGGCACTTGAAACAAACTTCAAGACTTGCAGATACTGAAGTGTAGCTTTATTGGCTTTTAAAATCAAGCTTTGCTATTCTGACCTCTGCAGGAATGTTTGGGGTTGTTTGGTATATGTTCTGGTTGCTTCATGCCTATGAGAGTCCTGCTGCGCATCCAACAATAACCAATGAAGAAAGAATATATATAGAAACAAGTATAGGAGAAGGAGCTAGCCTGGCTAATGCAAGTGTAAGTAAAAAAAAGGCCTTTCTTGTTATAATTTGTGAGCACTTTGCACAAGATGAGCGTAAGATTGGATGGATACTGTTAGCTGCATAAGAGTGGCAGAACTAGTTTCTGTTGATGTTTAGGGGTTTTTCCTTTTATGAAAATTACAGGATCAGGTTCATGCAGCTGGAGAGGATGAGTACAGCAACAGGAAAACACATAATGCTGTTTCAGCCCATGGCTTATAGAGTTTCCCAGATCTAGGGAGGGAAGGGATGGGGTGCAAGGGAGAACAACACATTCTGGTCTCCTGCTCTTGAGTAACTGTCATGCTTGTTCTAAAAAACATTAATTTATTTAACTAAATAAGAAACCTGGCTGCAGATGTTAATTTATCCATCTGCCTTTTGATCTCCTATTAAGGATGATTGCAAATCTGAAAGTTTATGGACAGGTTTTCTGCCCTGCTCACTCTCACAGCAGCTCAGGTCCTTCCTTAAGGCTCTTTATCCTCTCTCTGAGAAGATCCTGGAAACTTTGAGCTACAATATATTTTGCCATCGAACTTCTCTCCATTCCCTTAGGTAACTTATTTTTGCTAGTAGTAAAAACCAAAGATGTTTCTTGTTAAACTGCTCCTTCTTGGCTTTTAGTCTTGAACATTTTGGAATAAAGTAACTCCAAGCTTTTTCCTCTACATATTTTGGGTAATAGCCTTGCTGACAGTGTAAAATACAAGGCTCTGCTTTTGAGCATGCTCCTGAGATTTGGCTGAAGTCAATGAGGTCTTGGCTGGAAACACACATCCTTTTTCCAGATCATGGATTTTCTTTGCTGTATGGTGGTTTTAAAGCAAAGGACAGTAGTACCACTTTCATGTGTTTGCACACAACTGCAGGCATACTGCTGCCTGTAAAACACAGATAACTTTTTTTTTTAAAGAAAGGAGAATGTCAATGCATGTTGCCATAGCTACATATTTCACCTTCTGATTTGAATTCTATTACAAATGAATAGGTCTCTGAAGTGCATTTTATTCCTCATGTATGGAGTACTGGAGCATAAATAGAAATTGAAAATGCCAAAAGCAAGTTACAGAAATTAAATTCTCTACCACAGGCTTTTTTTTCTTAACTAAATTAATTAATTTGAAGCAGGTAGCTGCTTGCTGCTGTGCTACTTATGTCTCTTAGCTTGGATAATGCTTTTTTCACACTCCTTTCAGAAGAAAGTGTCAAACTGCATCATGCCAAAAGGTGGGGAATGACACAAGATTTTCTCTAGTTTTCTTTGCTTCTGTTACTGATCCTGTTATACCAATAGCAGGACTCCAGAAGACCTCGTGTAATTTCGGTAAGCAGGGCAATATTAGTGCAGTATTTGTCTTAAAAATCTTAACTATTCTAAGAAAATGTCTCTACCTGATTTTTGCCATTAATTCAAGAGGTATATTTCACTTGCATTCTTAGTGATCTGCAATGTAAGTTGCATGCAATGTTCTGGATAGGCTTGATAATAAAAAACACTGGTCCTTTATTCTGCCTCTGTCTACTCAATTTTTGTGGCTTTTTTCCCTAGAAATTTAGTACTCCCTGGAAGAGATTTTTCACTTCAATGCCAGTTTACGCAATCATTGTGGCAAACTTCTGCAGAAGCTGGACCTTCTATTTGCTCCTTATAAGCCAACCTGCTTACTTTGAAGAAGTCTTTGGATTTGCAATAAGCAAGGTAAATGTCTGGGATGAAGCGGTGACCTTCAGACCTCACCCTAGGAGATGCACCAGGGGAGGCTCAAATTGAAAGTCAGGAAGAATTCTTCACTGAAAGAGTGGTTAAGCATTGGAATGAGCTGCCCACACCCTGGAAGTGTTCAAGAAATGAATGGACGTGGCACTTAAAATATAGAGCTATGGTTTAGTTGGCATGGTGATGTTTGGTCAAAAGCTGGACTCAATTATCTTGGGGGTCTTTTCCAACCATAATGTTTCTATGATTCTATGCAGAGTATTTGAGGAGAAATCAGATAATTCCAGTAGATTATTCCCAGAATGTTTTGCCACCACCATTTCATTAAAATCAGTATTGTTACAGTCCCTCTTCAGAGCATGAATGAGGAATTCAGAATAATTGTTTCAGAAAAGTTTTCCCTTTCAAAAAACCATTCCTTTAACAAACCTACTTGCTATGTGGTAATTATTTTCAAGCAACTCTATGGCTGATAATGATAACAAAGTTAATCATTATTTATGTGTTCTGGGAGCACAGTGTGTCCAAGTTACAACATGGTAGCGATGACACTCTGAATGGCCAAGTACAACATACAGATGAAGATCATGGATATAAGAAAAATTAGATTTGTTTATTCTGAGCTGCTTTTCATTAATGCTGGAGTTGCACCCCTCTGTACCTCACTAACTTAAAACCAACATAAAACTGACTGACTGCCAATGCAATGAGGTTGTGCATTCTAGAAAGTAAACTCAAACTTATCACTAAATTACTTCTTCAAGGAAGATGTCATGCTGATCACTAAAATTTAGTAGCCCGAGGGATGTACTGAGTCTGATCCTGTTTGACATCTTCATTAATGATCTGGATGATGGGGCAGAGTGTACCCTCAGCAAGTCTGCAAATGACATAAAACTAGGAGGAGCGTCTGATAGGTTATACAAGGTTGTGCTGCCATACAGAGGAACCTTGGCAGACCGGGGAAATGGGCTGACAGGAACCTCATGAAGTATAAGGGAAAGTGCAAAATCCTGCACCTGGGGAGAAACAGTTCCATGCTGGGATCTGCCCAGCTGGAAAAGCTTAGCAGAAAAGGACCTGGGAGTCCTGCTGGACACCAAATTAGATATGAACCAGCAGTGTCCCCTTGCAGTAAAGACTAATGCTATCCTGAGCTGCATTATGGAAAGGTCAGCCGGAAAAGGGAGGTGATCTTTACCCTCTACACAGCACTGGTGAGGCCACACCTGAAGTACTGTGTCTGGTTCTGAGCTCCCCAGTACAAGGGAGACATGGACATATGGAGAAAATTCAATGAAGAGCCATGAAGATGATTAAAGAATGGGAACATTTCTCCTATGAAGAAAGGCTGAGAGAGCTGGGACTATTTAACCCGGAGAAGAAAAGGCTCAGCAGGATTCTCATCAATATGTGAAAATTTCTGAAGGGACAGTGTAAAGAAGATGAAACCAGGCTCTTTCAGTAGTACCTAGTCACAGGTCAAGAGGCAATGGGCCCAAATTGAAACATGGGAGTTTCCCTCTGAACATCAGGAAACACTTTCACACTATGAGGGTGACAACACTGGCACGGGTTGCCCAGAGAAGTTGTGGAATCTCCATCCTTGGAGACATTCAGAAGCTGTCTGGACGCATTCCTAGGCAACCTTCTCTGGGTGATCCTACTTGAACAGAGGGATTGAAGATGATGACCTCCTGAGGCTCCTTCCAACCTCAACCACTCTGTGATTCTGGGATGCTATAGAAATCTAAAGAAGATGAATATCAGTTTGTAGGTTGTAATCCCACAAGAATAAAAATGCATGCATATCTTTACACATATGCTTATTTAATAATTTGTAAAATTATTAAATTATTACCAGGTTTTATGCTGCACCGTCTTCAGTCCATATACAATGTGCAGGCGTTTCCTTCCTTTACATAGTGGCAGGTGGTGGGGATAGACTGTTTATTCAGAAAGGAGCTCCTTGAGAACCTGAATAACAAAAATATATAAAAGCATTTGAAAACCAAGATAGAGTACTCCAATATCAGGACACATAAGACAGGACTTTGTGATGTCTACAGATAAATTAGAGCAGTTTTCTTGTGCTTCTTTGTTGGTTATTAGAGAGAGGAAAAACTCCATCAGAGCATAAGCATCAGAATTTTTAGTTAGAGTTCTCTTTTTAATCTTTATTATAGCTTGTGTCTCTTCCCCCTGCCTCTTGAATTTGTACAAATATGCACAAATATGCAGCACTCTTTCTACTGTCAGAAAATAAATAGGAACAGAGAAAAACCCTACCTGCCCTTCTCTCCTTCAGGGAGGGATGGAGGGAGAAAGGCAGGAAGGGGGGAAGGAAGGAAAACCACCAGGTTAGTCCCCAAAAAATTAAGGAAGGTGCCCAGGCTCTTTCCACTTCCCTGGTGCCTTAGGCACTGGTCAACCATGCTGTGGCTCATATACTGACATTACTGAGAAGGTCTGGGATGAAAGCTTCTATTAAGTGGACAAAAGTTTGCTGGAGTCTCTCAAGCTCCTAGAAATCCCTAAAGATGAGATAAAGGCAGCTTAAGGTCACTCAGGTCTTAGCTGCAGTTCCTGTTGGACCTGTCTGCAAACCTCCCACACAAGAATCTAGGATAAAAAAGTGTCTAATGGTAATAAGGTGGAAAGAGATGAAGGAAAGTTATGGTTCCTGATTTCTTCCTCCTAAGTCTTGAAGGAGGATGTGAGCAGTAAGCAGTCATTTGTCTAATTGCAGGTTGGCCTTTTGTCAGCTGTTCCTCATATGGTCATGACAATCATTGTACCCATCGGAGGGCAGCTAGCTGACTTCCTACGGAGCAGGAAGATCTTAACCACCACCACTGTAAGGAAGGTCATGAACTGTGGAGGTACTATTGGACTCTGAAAACATGATATTTCAATTGTATGTTACAAATATAATAGTTAATTCATGTTTAATTTTAATGAAACGATTTATTCAAGATTGCGTTTACAGCTGATTAATCTGAAACATTAAATGGAGAGCTGGTGTCTCATGGCATAAATCCTTATTCATATGAACATGCTTTTAAAAATGGAGGAGGCAAAAAGTCTGGTTAATAATTGAAAGGGCAATAGAGTAGTATGGTCAAATAGGCCTCATACTGCAAACTCATACAGACAAAGTTAATCCTGTACCATGGTGCTGGAGAGACCCTTTCTCAGTGGATACAGTCTTGTAATAAGTGGTGATGTTCCCATTTGATACTTCCAGCAGAACTCACTGGCAAGTTTAAGCTGGAAACTTTGGGACAAAAAAAAGTTGAAGGATGGACTGGCTCATTTTTACTCAGCACAAAGTAATTTGTTTCCAGTTCAGTCACTGAACTGCAAAATCAGTGGCATCTACCTGTAAGGTAGACATACTAAGTTAGAGAAAAGATTTCAAGCCAGATAGCCTGTGGTGCAGTTAGTTGTCCACTGCCAATTGCTGGTTTACATTATTTATGGATGGTAGGGGCTGCTAGAAACAGAGATGCCTGCAATTAGAGATACCATGCAACTTGCTATGCATCTTCACAGAAGATGCTCAAATTCATTGTATTTTCAGGGCATATTAGTAGTGTCATTAAAAAAACAAACCAGAAGGGTTGTACTGTTACATATTAGAAAATGTGAATTCACAGTAAAGACTGGAAGTGTCCTGTGATGCCCAGGGATGTCCTATGGTGTTGGTAGCACACTTGTATGTAAAACACTCTTTTGTTCCATTTACCAAGAGCATCTTGCATCACTACAACCCTGAGAAAATGAAGGCAAGTGTTTTTCTCCTTTGCCTATGATGGTTTTGTGTTTGTGAATTTTCTGCCCTTTGCACAGTCATTTTCTCATTGTTTTCCTGTACTGTTCAGTGAATTAACTTCACCAATTGTTTGGGTCGTTTACACAGCAATGAATGAGGAGTAAAAAAACCCAACATATTCTCAAACAATAAATATACAAATATTTCTGCAAATCCACAAATTTCCCAAGTATGTTTAAGAATAGCTATAAGATAGAAAAGAATTTTGTCTCATTTTAAGCTTCTAGTCTGGATAGTCCTTATTAGCATCTCCATGACCAATAGTAATTTAAATGTAATTCATTCTTATGTGTTTCATTTGAAGGCTTTGGGATGGAAGCAACCTTGCTTTTGGTGGTTGGTTACTCTCATACAAAAGGAGTGGCCATTTCCTTTCTTGTGTTAGCAGTAGGCTTCAGTGGCTTTGCCATTTCAGGTAAGAATTACTCTTATTCTTGGTTTTACTGTTCCTGATAAAAGTGATGTTATTATCCTCGCTGTTCTTACTGTCATAATTTCTATTATTATGTTTGCACTTATATGTGGCTACTTATGGGTTCTTCTCTATTTCTTCCCATATCTGAAATAATTTACTTCAGAATCTATAAAACATATTGCACACAGAACATGAAACTTTGAGAGAACCTGCTTTTTATTGATTCCGGTTTACATCAGCATTCTGCTATTTTCTAATATAATTTTACAGAGTCAGTTGCCATTTTCTTCTTGTTTAAACTGTATCCTAAAAGGAGAAAGAGAGAAAGAGAGAGAAGGAAAGAATTACTGTGCAATGAATAGCTGCACAAGGGCTATCAGTTGCAATTCTGCCCCAAGCCCTAGTGGCTGGTTTCTGCTTTCTAGGTCAGCCCTCTTTCTCTTGTGTCCTACAACCAGCCCTTCTCCAGAACAGCTGTTTCTAACACTTTCATGGGTCTCACCAATCTCAGGCTGTTTTGTAGCATCAAAAGTATCATCATTCCTAAAAAATCCAAAACCTTCTGTTGTGAAAATGGAAGGACAACATCTTCTAAGAAGACTGCCAGGAAGATGGATCTATTGAACCAAATTAATCAGAAAAATAACTACTGGTCTTCAGTTATTTCAGGATTATGGAGATGGGAAGTGGTTTTATAACTCAATTATGAGATCGTTGCATAGCAGGTCATTTCTCTTAATCAATTTTTATTGCAGGATTTACCCAGTAGTTCACTTCTTACTGTATTTAATACCATGCACTTGGAATTCACCATCATTTCTTGTGATCAACCTTACTTCATATGACTAATTTTCATTATCTAAGGCATGACAATTGTCTGAGTATTTACTATTTGTATTTTAGTATTTGTTTTTATTTCTTAATAAAATATGTACCCAGAAGACACACTAGTAAGGGTAATTATATTTTTCCTACTGGTTTATATTCTGCTTTTTTATCATGTTATTAAACTGCTACTTAAAATACCAAAAAGCATGTGTTAAAAACCACTACTACCTAAGTAAAAAAGGTAGAAGATATTTTACCAATATGAGGTATTGATTTCTTTATTAAAAATATTTTCTGGGAGTGCTGTTTCAGGATAAGATGTGAGGTACAAGCACTTAAAACTTTAAATTATATACAACATGATCTCCAGAGGTGGGGGAAAAAGGGAGCTTTGAGAAAGAATAGAGTTGCAATGTTTTCCACATTTGTCACCAAGAAAATACTATTCTTCTTTTTAATACATATAGTAGTAGGGTTCCTACCTTTTTCAGGCTCCTTCAGCCATCATGGCTGTAGAAAACCCTGTGGGCCTGGTAGAGCAACACTGCATAGCTGACCACTGTCTCACATGTTTTGTAGGATTCAATGTGAATCACTTGGACATAGCCCCACGTTATGCCAGCATTCTGATGGGCATCTCAAACGGCGTGGGGACACTGTCAGGAATGGTGTGCCCACTCATTGTTGGTGCAATGACAAAACACAAGGTAACATTGCTCCATGTTTTCTAGGAGAAGCATTGGGTAGTGCAACGAAAGTTAAGACTTTTCAAAGACTGCTGGGTATTCCATTTTATCATTGGTCTCTGTAGCTGTTTTCTGTTGTTGTTTGTCTTAAACATTCACTTTTATAGTACCATGGTGACCTGATTCTTAGGTATTATAAACTACTTATCTGTGTAGGGAGATACTATTTTATACCCCTGAGGCTGAGTCTCTGCAATATCTCCATACAACTGTGCAATGCTTATAGGGCTTGGGAAACTCCTCTACAATGCATCCCTGGTAGGGTTCCTAAGTAATCATTGATCTACAATAAGATTAACTTAGTTGTTAGAGAAATCCCTGTATTTCTAACTCCATGAATATTTCACATGCAAGAGAGAAACTTCAACGTGAGAAAAAAACCCAAAGAAACCCAAGTTTTATTATTTTAGCTGTTGTTATGGAAAGAAAAAAAGTTCTTCACAGTGATTGTTATAAATTGTTTTATCCACAACATCAGAAATCAAACAGTGATCACAATCTTTATTCAATATATGCTAATTCATGGTGTAATTCAGAGAGTAATATTTCTTTTTACTGGAAACTTAATGAGACCTGCACCATTCTTTCAGACCCGTGAAGAATGGCAGAACGTCTTTCTGATCGCAGCCCTGGTGCATTACAGTGGTGTGATATTCTATGCCATCTTTGCTTCTGGGGAGAAGCAGGAATGGGCTGACCCTGAAAACCTCAGTGAAGAGAAATGTGGTATAATTGATCAGGATGAACTAGCTGAAGAAACGGAGATGAACAATGAAACTTTTGTAAGTCCAAAGAAAATGTACGGTGCTACCAGTCAAAATAGTGAAGTACAGAGAAGGGAATGGAGGAAGCAAAAGCAAGTAACTCAAGACATGGAAGAACAGACTTCTTACCATTATGAAAATGGAAATTTTCAAGATTTGTCTTAATACTTGAAACTGTAAGATTTGTATAGCATCTACTCCCACGACTCCTTCTGCCTAGCTGCCCCAAATCATCAGGTATCCATGTTTATTCTCTTATTCAATTATGTAACATCTGACCACTTGGCCAGATTCAAGGGGTGATAGTTCCCTCCTAATAGTGTGGAAGAGGGCTCATGGCAATGCAACTGGGAGAATTGATACTAAATCCTCTCCCAGCCATTGTATGCCCTTGGAAGGGTTTCTGTGCCCATTAGCTGACCAGCCAGTAGGGCTCCTGCCTGATGCAAGCTGTAAGACTGACTGCAGGAGCAAGGAGTTCCCTCATCTTCTCATCTGAACAGAGAAAGGACAATTTATATCAGATGGATCCACGGTGATCTGTGTAATCACTGAGGCTCCAGTGGTGTGACAGTCTGCTGTGAGTGACCCTGCTTTGCCTTTTTAGGACTCCTCTAGATTGACATTTGAACTGCTTATTCCGTGTCAAAACACTAGCCCATGCTAAAAGATCAGAGTAGAGGGAAAAGCAGATTTATAACAGTCAGCTCTAATTAATTACTAATGGTCACTCAACAAGAGGGAGTGGAATATGTAGCAAAAGTGGCATAGTGTTGCTTCAATTGTTCGTACAAATTGATTGAAAATCTTCTTTATACACATAACCCACAGAGTCTGGATAAGGCAATAAAATGGATACTTGTAAAATTTCACCCTCTGCAAAGATTTTGTGCTGGCATGAAATAATTTTGAATACAAAATCATCGTTAGTGATGCAATATTATTACTCCTTATGAAAGGAAATCTTAGTCCTGTTTGGAGTAGGATTCTCACTCAATTCATTATTGTGAAGTAATTTAAATATATTTTTCTAGTATTATACTGATAGAGTTCCTGGTCTCAACACCAACAGTCCTCATTTAGGTGAATGAGCTTCCTTACAGGAGTAAAGTCTTTAGTTCTGGATCTGTAACTTTTCAATGCCTCAGTCTTGTTTTTGCTACAAATGAAGCACTGTACCATTTGAGAGTTATGAGGGTGCCTATGTCTAGAAGTAATTCTCTTTTGTCATTGGTATATGTTTGAGTGTATAAAGTGGCTTTAGCCTTTTTCTACCATTTTTAGAATCAACCAGTGGAGTATGCTGTGTCATCTCAAGCAGTTAGCTGCAGCTCAGACACTCATTGTAACATCAAAACTCTTTTCAGAATGGATAATTTCAGTAAGCTGTATTTTAATTTGTCTCTCATCATGACTGTTGCCTCATTAAACTCAAGTGAAAGCTATGATGTCTAGCCTATGCTGTGCTTTGTGACGTTTCAGCATTATTGTTCTCATGTACCATATATAGCCACTGTGATGCACACAAGTTTTTGAATATTTCTCATAAGCATTTTTTTTATTTTTTTGAAGTGCAATTGAATACCAGGAGTGAAATTATACTTGTACATTAATTTGAATCCACAGATTATTTATCTTCCCTACAAATGTAATTAAAAAGGGTGACTGGGAAGTTAGTTGATTCTCTGTTCTTGTCTCTTATTTCTTTTCTACTCAGCAAAATCCAATCTACAACTGTACATAAATAAGATGGAAAATGAATTGAATGAATGCACGCCAAATTTGACTAGAGTGAAGATTTTAGTTGGTATGAGCAGATAATTTAATGATAGGGGTATTGTTATGGTACAGCTCAATCCTACTTCGACAAAAATGCAGTTTATTAATGAGCCACTTCAAAAAAATCTGTTAACTTTATTCTGTTAAGACAGAAAAGAATATTTTTTTTCCAAAATTCTAAACTTTAGTTTAGACTAGAGTTGCTTATTTCACTACTGATATTCAGAGTAGGTATAAGAAAATATCTTATTTCTTGCAGCTTACAGTCAACATTTGGGGGTTTCATTGGCAGGAACTTGAGTTCAAGTCTATCACACAGTAGCTGGTCCAGCTACTGTCAAGGTATTTTGCAATGCCTACCACAATTTACAAAGGAAAGAGGGCCATCGTGTTACATATGTACAGAGCAAATAAATTCTTTCTCCCTCCCCAATGATGTAACATGCATATAGTTACTACAGGAACTCTTAATAGAGTAAACCATATTATGAAGGGATTTAATATAATAATCAGTGTAAGTATAATCTGACAGAGAGGAAAGAGAAGACAAGACAACATACCATTCTAGAAACAGTAACATTTTCTCAGAAGCAGCATCATTTTCCCAGTAATGATAAAGGGTAACTTTCCTGTCTTGTTAAGAGGAACACAAAGGGAGTGAACGTTGTTGTTATGACAAAGAACTACAAACATCCCAAAATTTTGGGAAATGGCCAACTGGCCCATGAGAGCTCAGTTGCCTCTCTGGTGAATGTAGCTCCTATTTCTTAGTGTTACAGATGCACCACAGCTGTCACAAGTGACAGTGAGCAGCTCAGTTTAGCAGGATCATTTTGTATCCAGACTGCACTGATTTAGTGCAGTGGAAGTTTGACTTCAGAGGACATCTGAGCATTATTTAGTACCCTGAAAAAAATGGTTTAAAAACCTTTGGACAAGCTTTTGCATTTAAAAAATCCCCGACTTTCTTTCTTTCTTTTCCAAATTTAGCTTCTTCCAGAGACCTAGTATCAGCTCTGACCAGTTGAAGTTATATGCATGGCACAGTGCTTTTCCTGGCACTCACATTCAGATGTTTGGGCTGCCTTTCTCACTTTCCTTTTCATCTGTTTAAATATTTCAGGTACATTGCATGAAGCATAAACAGCAGCACTGGTTGGAAACTAGTTTTCTTTCCTGGAAATCTCTGTTAGTTAATCAACTCTTTGATTTACACAGTGGCTTCCACAGTCATGTATGACCAGGAATACAGACAACTTATTGAGAACAAACTGACTCTGTAACTCCAGTTTTGCTGGATGTCTCTATGTACAACCTGCTCCAATAGCATTTTATTGTGGAATCTAAGGAAGTGCAGTCACTGAGGGTGTTTCTCCTAAAACTGACTTCTTAAAATATGTTTCAGCTTGGCACATTTAAAGAATCAGGAAAACAGCTGGCATATCCCAGCCTTGACTCCCCAAAAAGTCATGTCTCTAATGCCAGTGGATGTGACTAACTCAAAAGATATTTTCTAAGGAAAAATAGTAGCTTGATTAAACTTCATTCATCACATTTTTTGCATATTTTTTGTCCCCACATCCAAAATAAGTTCTTATTTTCAGCTATGACAGTGCTCATACAACTCAGAGTTGGATTTGAAAATGGTTTTGATTGCAAAAGGGAGCAAAACTTAGTTTATACTGGAATAGAGATCTTAAGCAAGCCAGAGGAAGAGTCAGCTCTCCATAGCATGAAATAGTAAGATAGACCACAGAATACGAATTCAAGTTTAAGGATAGAAGAAGCAGGACAGGAATGTATTGTTCAGTGTTGTTATCTTTCTTAACAAAGAAAGCTGTAGCTTTTATTTCTTTGGCAGCTTGTGTTTTTTAGGTGTTACTAGCAGAAGTTCAATGATAATTAATACTGCTTTTATATTTATGTAAGAATTAAGCAAAATGTTCCTTGTCATGAAAGAAGGAAAAATTAATGATGGAAATGATAAAAATTTACCTGAGTAGGAATTTCTTCAGGGAAATAATCACTTAGTACAAAAGAATGTACAGACTTTGAGGCAAAATATATAACAAGGGCATCCAGATGTTAACAAGGAGCCAGAAGGAGTCTCATGTGTAACATAACTAATTGAAAGTAGGAAGGTAAAAATGAACACAAGGTCATGCAAAATGTGATATGGCTTCACATGTATGATTCCAGTTGACTCCTCTTGACAGGTAGTTACAGAGATCTAAAAGTTTAGTCACTATTTTAAATAAGATTTCATAAAAAATCAGATTTGTTACCTTATTTTTCTTCCTTTTTTCCATTAAAGATCTTAATTTTATAGTGCTATTTAATTATTCATATTTTAAGAGAGAGGAGTAAGTATTTCTTGTGGTTTGAAGAATAGATAAAAAGAGAGAGCAAATTGCAACTACGAGGCAATGCAGAGGGAGGGCTGAGTTTGGATTAAGAAATCAGTTTTCAAATCCTGGAAACAGAACTTGGAGTCCTCTACATTTTTGAGTTAAAACCCTACAGGATGGGCCAAGATCTGATATCCTGAACCATCCTAGGGTTCAGGGAATTCACTCAGGTCTCATGTAAAACCTTAACTCTCATGAAATCAGGAATTAATAGAGAGATTAAAAACTTCTCATCCTTATGTCTTCCAAATGCTTATGTTGGATTAGATAACACTGCTAGCAAGGCAACACTAGTAATACTATTGCAGCTTTATATACACATGCAGAAGACAGTCTGGCAGGCTTCTTTGTAAAAATGGTTTCAATTACTTATATACTGGTATCAGTTATTTCTTATCTTCCATTTGATAACACTGTTTAGCTGTGACAGAAAAAATTGTCCCTTCTTTGCCTCAACTGTTTTTTGTTTTGGTGTTTATACTGCTTATCATTTTTACAGTTCTTCTGCATGCAAAATTACATAAGTAAAGAAAGAAATTTGTGTAAGAAATGTAGTAAGATTGTACTTCTTCATGTTGAACTATCTGTAACATAGGAGCCACACATTTTTTCCACATAAGCATACCATTGAGGTATTTTAAGTCTTGACAGTAATAAAAAGTTGACCCATTTAATTTGTTGTCCCTCTTCCTATGTCACCTCATCCCAGTCCCCCCTTCCCACCCCACTCCCACCCTATTCAATTAGTTTATTGGATATCTGCAGATAATGTAGCAGACTACATTTGTTTATGTATAACCGTATTTATCTGCTCAATAAAGTCAGTGCTCAGACACATGCTGTACAAACTTTTGACAACTACTTCACTGCTTATTTTAGGCTTAGTTCTACCTGCATGACAAACTCAGAGCTCCTCTGAGCAGTTCATGGCCATTTTGTTAAATATGTATCAGAAAAACACTGGAACTCATGAGAAATAAATCTCCATTTGCTCAGTTATGATTGTCCAGAGGTGTTTCACATATCATTGGAACACCAA